CAAAGTGAGTCAAAGAGTTCCACAGGGTGTGGTACTAGGACTACTTCTATTCACCTTATAAATTCTCTCTCCAGGTCATATCTTCATCAACACTGTGTTATGTCATCAAATTATACTTATCAATGCATCCAGATGAATCCAATCTATTTTCTGCTTCTTTATTTAGACAAAACCAAAGTGATTGTGCTTTGCCCTAATCTCCTAGAACACACATTATCTAATGATAAAGAACCCTAACTGGCATCATCCTGGCGTCCAGCACAGTTAGAAATCTGTGAGTTCTTTTTGATCAGGTTGTCCTTCAACCTTTCATAAGAAATTATAGGAACCACTTTTTTCACAAACATTGCATTGCAAAACTCAGACCCATCCTTTCTCAAAATGATGCTGTATGAGCTTGTCCATACAGTCATCACTATATCTTATTACCCCATTGAAGCTAATTGTATTGTTTTGCCCCTCTGAAAAATTATGCCCCCAGAATGTGAGCATTTTTGTGTTACCTACAGTCTCACAAACCAGTCATGTACTCGTTCATCATATCATCTACCCTAACCCTCCTCTTCTAATGGCCATTCCCTAGGGCTTCTGACCAAGGGAATCAATTTTACCAGCACATTGTATGTGGGTCTGGTATGTGTCACAAATGTGTCTAGTTTAACTGTCTAGTAAAACTGTTCAATCTTATCTGTGTGCTGTACTGTGTAATTGTAAATATATAAATGTTTTTTTGTTTGTTTTATGATTTTTGTAAGTACTTTCCTTAGGACTGTTGATGAAATTGGGCTATTTAAATTAATGAATTAATTTAAATAAAAGTAGTATAAGAGATACAACCTTAAGTTATCAGGCTCTTGTCCTTTCCAGTTGTCCGGGAGATAGGAGATTTTCAATTGGTCCTCTCTTCTAGATTTTTACCACTCAGAGCCCTTTACATGTCTACATGTCACATTCAACCATTCACAACACATTCACATACTGATGGCAGAGTGGCCAACTTCCTCATGGTAACAAATCCTCCTAAATATTGAAACATAACATAGAGGAATAACAGAAATAAAGGAATATGGTACCAATGTCTGTATTGCTTTCTTGTAACAGAGAGCACTTTTTGTCTGAGCTGTTCCCATTAACTACAGATGTACTGGTGAACCAAGCAACCTGAGAAGATTTTTGACGTGAAAATAAAAAGTGAGGAAATCAGGTTAAATATTGGTTTGGCAAACGAGAGAGCTTAATTCCAATCTAGAGCTACAGAGAGATGCTGATCTCAATCTGTTCAACAGTTAAAAACAAGTAAGTCAAATAATAAAAGTAAGTTTTATAACAACTGATACAAGAACTCCCATGATCCCACCCTACTTCACAACATCATCAACTTAAACAAATCAATTTAAAATTAGGTGCAAGTTAAACTTCTGATGTAACAAAGTTACCCTTTTATATTTCCATTTACATCATATTTGGAGCCTGTTTTGATCCAATGTGCTTTAGATGAACAGGGAGGCTCTGCAGAGTTAGCTGACAGGTGACTCCCCATCTGTCAATCAAAAAGCGTGGCAGTCATGGTAACTGCTGTGTATCCACTGGACAGCCCTCTGCTGAGGTCAATGTGAACTGAGACCAAACAGCCTGTGGTGACGGAGTGATGAGTGGAGGAGGAGGGAGAGAGCGACAGGAGAGATGAAAGAGTGCAGGAGGACAGATGAGTGATCCAGTCATCCAGAGCTAGCAGACATCCCAGAGGACAGGAAACACTGTGTTGACCCACAGTCTGCTCCTTCCCCACCTTTTCATCTCCTCCTCCTCTTTCTTTCTTCCTCACCAGTTCTGTATTAAACAGATATTTTCAGCCTGTTTTTAATTCCCTTATCTGTACTAATTATCGATGTTCACATTATCCAGACTGGATCCTTCCATGTCCTGGGCAATTGTTCATGAAATAGTTGTTAAAACTAAACTAAATAATAACAATAATAATTGTTACCCTTAATTGATTTTGATGAGTCAAGACAACTTACCAAACATTCCTACCTATTTTTAAATATAAGAGTACCACATAGACTAAACACTCTCTGAGGTGTTGTTTAAATGTGATGGTGCTATTCATGTATGTTTTTGTGCTTTAAAAAAATGAAAACCCAGATGCCAAGGAGATCATTTAAACTGAATTGCTTCTTCGACTTATTTCAGACATCAAAGAGTCTAATAAGATCATTTTAAATAAACTTTACCCATGTCTGACTGTGATTTAAAGTTTACAGAAGAACACTTATTTACCAGTGCAGCAAAGTTTGAAGTAAAAACACTCGTGGTTTGAAATGCTGATGTTAAGTATTAATAATTTTCCTGTTCTAGCACCTTTTTCAACTTAAAAAGCTTTTGATTAAACACAGGAAATAAATCAAAGCTGGTCACTTTGTAGCATTTGGATAATTTGTTCCCCCACGTATACTGACATATCATTGCAGGTTGGGTGTAGTGTGAATGCCTTCCTATATTCTCTGTGTGTTTGGCTTGCAGCTGCAACCTGCAAAATGGGCTATAATTAAAATTCAGGCCTGTTATTGTTTTATTTATTTTTTTCAAACAAAGACATATTAAAGGATCGATGGGTGCCGTGTGCACTGCCGTGCTACTCATGCGGAGTGTAGCTAGAGCAGGAACAGACAGCTTTTATGATCTGAGTATTCTAGCGCACTCCAGGATGTTCTGATTGACTTCAAAGTTTAATGCGTATAAAACATTGGAGTGAACAAACTTTAAAGTCACTCTGAACAATCCCGGTGTGAACTAGATTACTGTGATCTTGAATAAAGGAAAGTGAAATAACATTTTTCACTTCCTCAGCAATCAGATGTTAACATAGAGAGTTTAAAAAATATAAACAAAAAACCCAATTCTGCACCAGTATGGCTTTATTATAATGAGGAAGATAGTTCACTGTTATCCTTTTTTTTGTGAATAGCATGTTTTGATCACAGTGCCTGTCATCAGTGCTGCTGATTTTAATTTTTAGTCGATTTAATAATTTTTGAAGGTTGATTTAAGGATTTACACTTCAGTGCGGCCGGTCTTTTCCTTCTCTTTAAACACTCATTCTTTACCCCCTTCATTCAGCCTCCTTTGCCCTGACCTCGGCCTCCTCGCCTCCTGCTGTGGTATCCCAGAGGCCCCCGGGGCACCAGGCTCCTTCTTCCCCTCCAGCCCCACCTCCACAGGAAAGCCCCCAGACTGCCGCCAAATACCTCCACAGATTCTTCCTCCTGCTTGGATGCAACGAGAGGCCCCTCGCGGCTTCTCCTCACTTCCACCGCAGGCCTCGGAAATACCTGAGAGCCCCGAGTGTGGTCGCCCTGTGACTGACCAAAACTCACTTTCAGGAGGTTCAAACCACAGATGTTCACACTCAGATTGAAATCACTGCTAAATCTGATTATTATGGACGCCAATCTTTATCAGTTCAAACATAAAGTCACAGAAGTAACAGTGAAGTTGAGCAGATGCATTGTAGGGAAAAGGGCTGTGTGTCAATATTTTTGACAGGATTGTCTGCTTATAAGACCAGTGTTGCTGTGCTTCTAGTTATTTATTTAAAAATGTTTCTGACATATAGATGAAGAGTTCTTTCTTAAAGCCCCTGGATACCCAAATGCCCTGTTGTTGCTTAATTTAGGGTCTTATTAAATCATATTTAGCATAAAGTTTAAATTTGCATTTAAATCCTGAATCAATTATTCTAGTTGAAGTTGTGACGGTCTTCCTAGTATTGGTTTAGAATTGGATGTGAATTAGATTTTATATTTCCCAAGAAATTAAGCTAATAAATAATAAATTTCACAATTAAATCATAAAATGTAAAAAGTGTAGGTATATTAAAAAAAAACCTTCTACCTCTATGCCTAATAAAAGTTCAAATACATTTCCCCTTAATCTGTTGCTCGGCATGCTGCAGGTCCCCCAGTGTCCACTCAGCCATGAGCAGTCACACTGAAGCTGGTCATCAGACTCCCTCTAGTGGTCGGAACTCTGCAGAGCAACTGTAAAACTTTGTAAGTGCTTTAACTCAAGCACTGCACTTTCTTGGTTTACCACCCATCATAATGTCATGCTTCTTTATACATCACTACAATACTGCAGAGTGTTTTGTCCTTTGTGCTCAGCTACATTTGTGTGACAGCTGTAGTTATTTAATTCATGTTGCCCTTTGAGTAAGCCATTAAATGCAGTAGGTTTACTCATACAAGTGCACTATTGCTATTAAATAAATACAAAAATTCACATCTTCTTCCACTGCCATGGGTACTTCCCTCCTGTTTTTGGTTCTATTTGCCTCCTGATACAAACTCAGTGCTAACCATTTATCTCTTCTACAGTCAAAGTGTGCTTGTCAGGACAAACTACCTAAAACTATATCATTTTCATTTACAAATGTTTGTCACTTTATTGAAAAATGTAAATAAAAAGAGTTTTTTTTTTTGTTGGGGGGGGGTCATAAAAGCGGCAGACAAAATTAAACTATTGGAAATGTCTGCTAAATGTTGGTACAAACTTTGCACAGATGTCTTATATTATTCTAATAAACTATGTTTTATTTCTCTGACAATAAAGGTGTGGGGGGGGTTACAACTTCTGAGTTTGTCAGACAAAATCAAAGAAAAATGATATGAACATTCTTCCCCTTTCTATTAGTTGTCATATAATGAATGCCTGTTTTAGTCATTCATTTATTTTGTATTTTATTGTTTGGCTTGTGTTTAGTGCTTTGTTAAGTACTTTGTAAAATTGGTTTGTATAAGGTTCTACACATAAACCTCCTTATTATTGTTATTATGATCATATAACATTCTCAAAACCCTGAACAGAGCTGAAGGGGGTCAGACTTTTGATGAGGCATTGACTGGTTGAGGTTTATTGGGTAAATGTGTTTTGTCTCTCTTGATTCCTGAGCTGAATCAGTCTGTGACAGATCATGTCCAGTTGAAAGAAGAGACAGGACATAGTTTGCTGAGATATTTATTTACACATTAAACTAGTGGCCATTATATGAAAAGAAAGAACATTTTTACAGTTTATTTACATCACCTGTAAGGCATTATGAAGAACAAACTGTACACCGAAATGTATCAATAAAACAAAAACAAACTAAGTCAATTTGCATGAAAATATCAAATACAACTGATAGCAGTGATCAAACTTAAATAGATGTAGACATGAAACATAAAGTTATTCAGAGGAAATATCACATTAATCTCACGCTCCCTCCGCAGCTCTCTGAATGTTTCATCAATAATCTGGAGTGAGGTCAAGGCGAGGGAGTGTTAAACCGGCCCGAAGAGGATTCTGGGTAATAATGACTCTGATGTACCTGCTGCCTAAACACACCGTATTGCACTTGAAGTCTAAAAGAGTGAACATGACAGAACATACATATAAAATCATTTGACATTTTCAACATGTCTTTGTGTTTAATCTTAACTCCTCAACACTGAATATATAAAGATGAAAGTTTGATGTTCCTTCTATCCAGTCGGAATGAGTGACGACTGTGAACACTGACAAACCACCTGAAAACACCTCTTTACCTTCCTGTTTTTGACTCAGTTTTGTAACAGTGTTTTTGTTTTCATTGAATGTAAATCACTAAAGGTCAGGTTCTTAAAAAACATGTCTGCTTTCTTACAGGGACAGAATATTTGTAAACAAATGACCTGACAGGAAACATCTGTTTTCTGTATCTTGCACATTAATTCTACAGAATCAATCTCATACATGTCCGGAGTAAGAACGACATTACATGTGCTGCTATTTCTGTTTACCTGGCACTCTCTTATCAATTAGATAAACATGAAACTTGAATATAAGTTTACTTTCCACTAAAAAAAAGAGTATTAACCGATTATAAAACTGGATATTCTTTCTAAATGCTGCCGAGTGTTTTTAAACTGATGTCATTAAGGTTGTTTGACTTTTGAAGACCAAATGAAACCCCAAATTCGACCATCTGTAAAGGTCAACTTTCAGCGTCAGGGAATATTTTTTAGGATTATGAAACCTCAAATCCATCAACAGTCCACTGAGCTATAATAAAGCAGGCTGCTGGCGGTATAGAGATAAACGTTTTTAGTCTCCCACACTGATAAAGGACAAACTTGAAGGAGGCTCTTTGTGTGTTGGAAACTAACACTCTAAATTTGTGTCGCCAAAAAAAAAAAGTCGATTTGAGTTAAAAAAAATAAGAACATCATCACATTTACATAGTTTCTGTTGAGAGTAACAAAAAAAGAAAAGATTAAAGGAGGGTTCATGAAGAATCCTAATCATATATTTGCTAATTTGCATATGAGAAACATTTTTTTTAACAGCTGACACGGCTGCAGCATTGCACACGCTGTATTAGTGCAACTGCAGGAAAAAAGGCTCAAGTTCACAAAGTGTTGTCTGTCAACGTGTGTTCACTCTTCTTTAATAAAACCAAAATGTGTAAATCCACCTGAGGATGTTAGTTGCTGATGCATGACAATAACTCTTCACTTTAAAGACTGATAAAATCACAGCAGAGGAAATGGCAGCGTTTCGTCATTTTGGGGTCTTTTATATGATGTTGTTCTCATTTCAATGCAGGGCTCATGCTGCCTTTCACACTTGATTTGCAAATTCATTTTATAATCTGGAATCATTCCAAATCCGTTCTGTTGTCAAGTGCCGACTTAATTAATACAGTGGTCTTGTTTAGTCATAGAAATACACAACAGCTCATTCCTAAACAGCTGGGAGGCTCGGAGGCTGTTTTAGTATTGAGTTTGAGATCATTTGAAAAATGTTCTGTAGTCACCTCAAACTAAATTTTAGCCACCTCTTTGAGTGGTCCAACAAACAAAGCACTTGGTTCATACAAACATCAATACTTAAAATGGTTAGAACACTGGTGCAGACTGGTTTTGTCAGCTGGGACATGTGAATACTGGCTTCTGTTTGGAAAATGTACAACAGCAATCCTTTAGTTATGGAGTGATTTGGTGAACACAAATGTGTCAGAAGAGAAATAACTTGAAAATCTGGAAAAAAAGACGTTGACGGAGAGTTGAATTCTTCCTTCTGACCCTCGAAACCATCACTTTGTACCCTCAAACTCATTCCTTATAAAATGCTATCTTGCTGCTTTTTTCTACTGCATTTGGGGAAAAAACAGTTCAAGAAGTCATGTGATCTGAACTGTCTTCACTCGTCATATATTTAGCGTTGCAGGGACTAAGATGCACAAAGATATGGAGGATGTACAAACTAAAATTGAAGGAAGCTCTAGTCTTCTTTTTGTCTCCTTTCTCCTCACCTCCTCCTCCTCCTTCTATGTCCTCCTTCTCCAGAGCTGCTTAATGCCTCCATTAAGTTTTCTGCTTCAACAAGCACAAAAAAGCAAAGTGGAAGCTTGGTCCACATTTTTAAGGCCTGCTCATTTGCTGGTGGGAACGAGGAAAATCAAGAGGTAGGGATGCAATGAAGGTGAATGTTACGGTGGAGTGTGATCATCAAAGGAGTGTTAGCACAAAGTCACAGAGCAAAGACGAGGGGGATGTAAAAGCACTTCAACAGGCTGAGGGGACCTGAAGGGATCATGTGACAGTCTCAATCTTAATTGATGAAATTCATATACATGGAATAACACGGCGCAGCCAATACAGGCAGACGACTGGATGGTTGTCGCTGGAGTTACTGTGGCACACCTGTTTCCAAATATGGGCACATCATGGCTACTGCTTGTCACCTTTTTTTGGTTCATTTGGAGTGTTATTGGAGGAACTATTAGAGGGTAACACTACAGTATGTAAAAGGCTGAAACTAAGTCAGTATACATTCACAGACTGATTTTCTTTATCGACTTCATTTAGTGTTTTTGGCAAAAAAATGCTGAAAGTTTGCAGGGTCTGACGTCTAAAATGTGAATCTTTCTAGTTTCACTGAATATTGATGTGTTTGGAGCTGTTGGTTGAGCAGAACGCGCCATTTGCAGACACCATCATGTGGTCTGGGACGATATTGTAAATTGTATTTTGTTGATGTAACTGATTTTTTGTTTAAACTAAATAAAATGGATATTCTTGCTTGTTGAATTCAAATATCTTTAAGTTTCTTTCCTCTTCTTTTTGGATAACATTTTCACAAATTATTAAGTGACAGAGGTTTTGCTACAAACACTAAAAACCTTCATCTTCAGGCCAGATGGAGAGAAACTTAAAGCTGTGCAGCTGTTCTTGCTCCGTTACACTGTGTGTATGTTTTACTTGATGTTTCTGTCAATCTGCTCGAACAAGCCATGTCGGTTCTTCAGTTTAACCCCCCCCCCAACATCAAACAAAAGGAAACTATGAGGCACTTAATGCCCTGCTTATTTAGTATGAGCTCACTACGTGTAGTTTCAAAATGAGACGTAGCTTCAGTGCTGCATCGATAAAGTGCTCTGCTGGAAACACTGATGTGAAACTGTAATCACTCCTCACTCCTACATTTACATGAAATGCTCGCTCACTGTGGTTTCACGAGACTTTTAGGGAGAAATTTTAACCGAAAGACGGAGTCATAATCTGACACTTATTTCTCTCCATTAGATCTAAAAGCCGGTTTAGTTACACTTCAATAGTGACTGTAACGTTCCAGCTCTAAAACATCCAGCTAACAGTCTGAGCAAAATGAAAAAATGTGTAACATGTAGAAAATACTTCATCATCCCAATAGAACATGTGATCATTATTTGCTTGTGAAACATCAGAATCACGCAGCTTTTCGTCACACTCTGCTTGGGCTTAATTAGCGTCACTGATGAGATGTGAGTTATTGGATTCCAAAACACTACATTGTACAAAAATTATTCAAATTGCAAAACTGTTTTAGTTACTTCTCACGTTCAGGTTTGTGTCCCTGAAGGTGGAGATTTGAAAAAAGGTAAGAGGTTAAAGTGGGAGGCTAACCATCTGCATCTGTATGTTAGCATGATTAGGCATGCTAATCCAGATTCTGATCATGTTCACATCCAGAGGTCTGGTTCAATGCAGCGAATGAATCATAGTGTAATATCCAAACCGAAAGGAACTACATACTGTAGATAGTTTAACCAAGAGGTCATTTCTGAAGCCGTAATAAATCATTAGCACCGAAAATTAGAATGATTAGAGTCTTTGAGAATTACAAAGGGCGTAGTGCTCAGTGTTCGTTTCCCAGCATGGAGGCATTACTACAACAAGCCCGCCTGCAGGAGGAATAACACGTATACTATTATCTGGAATTTTTAATTTTCCAAACTATTACCTGTCTGGTGAAATACTGTCAATGGCGGTGGGAGTACAGAACAAAACCAACCACTTTCGCTTCCCGCTCTGGTTCCATCACAGATTTCAGGAAACACTGAAGCCTCTTCTTTCTTCCCCTGGCTGGGTGCAACAGCTTGCAGAAAAAGTCTCAGCTCTGCCCGGGGTAGTTTCACGGCTGGCTCAAGTTTCTGCCAAGCTTCATAGCTGAGCTTCAGGGGAGTCTTTAGCTCCATGCTACTCTGCTTTAGCGCTTTGATTTAGACTGGAGAAAGATGGCGTCAGAGGTCAAGGTTAGCCAGCGTTAGCTTCTCAAAGCTGGGCTGCTGTTTTTGTCTGTCTCCTTATTTCCATCCTTCATCAAAGCTGAAAACACCTGGGAGAAAACAAGAGAAATTCATGTTGTAAGTTATGAATTCAAACATCGGACAAGCTAGAAACATATAGACTAACTTTTAGCTGAACCCTGGACTTTGACGGGTGTGATACTGACCTGAGCCCAGCGGCGGTTTCGGCTGATCATGTGTGTGTTGGCCATGGCGATGAAGAGTGTGTGTGACTGCAGGTCCTCAGGCAGGCGGGTAAGGAACTGAGCGATGTGGATGAAGTCCATCTGGAGCAGGACTTCCTCGAACAGACGCAGGATGCCCAGCCCTGTCCGAAATAAGCTCTCCTCCCCGTCCCGGCAGAAGACGTCCCACACGCGACACGCTACGTCCAGAGGGAGGGACTTACTGTAGAGTGTAAAGATCCTGCACAATAATACAACACACAGGTTTAACTTATCAAATATAATAAAGGTAATCACACAATCAGAGTGCCTGTTTCAAAATGCATGACAAGTTAGAATTGGACTTACAACCCCAGAACCTAAAACACTGGGGTGGACGGGGGCCCAATTGTGTTCAGAGAAGGTAACTATGAGGCATATTCCGTCAGGTTGTAAGAATAACAAGGTCGATATACACACGACGCCATAAGCTGGTGTTGAAAGGCTTAACAGCAGGAATTGAAAGTAGACAAAGACAGGTGAATTCAGAATGTAATAAGGAAGAACCAAAGTTACATATGTCACTACGGTTTGCCTCTGGCGCTCAGAGAGGATGAAATATAATGGCAGCTATTCAATCTGTCAGTGAGGGAAACAGAAAGGAGGTAGATTTTTAGCAGGCAGGAGTCAGGCCACCTTAAGTTAATGACTCTTTGTTAGCCACAAATCAACTACTTTGCCCTTAATTTAAAAAACAGTTACCCTATTCAAGATTTAATTTGAGCTCATTCTGTACAGGATAAAGAAAACAACAATCTCTTGGAGCTGCCCACTGGATGTCAGTTTTCATGAAGTGAAATTCTCAGACAGAGATCAGAGGTCTGTTGGAGAGACTGTGGAGCCTTTCGTCACTCACCAGTCGATCAGATAGAGGTCAGGGGTCAGGTTGTTGGTTTGGAAGTGATTGAAAAGGCGGGGCAGATTCTCCTCAAAGAAAACCTCGAAGGCTGCAAAATACTTCAACATCTGGCAGAGAGAGAGAGAGAGAGAGAGAGAGAGAGAGATATGAAAAAAAGGAGAAGGGTTTAGGAAAGAAACAGTTGAATAGTGAATAACAGTTGCAGTATGTGTGTGTGTGTGTGTGTGTGTGTGTGTGTGTGTGTGTGTGTGTGTGTGTGTGTGTGTGTGTACCAGGTCATGGTCGACTCTGAAGAAGGCCATCTGACAGGGTTTATTGAGCAGGTTGGCGAAGGTGATGAAGGCTTCGGCCTCCTCCAGGTTGAGGATCAGCACAGCGGCGATGAACGACATGCCCTGAACCTGAAACACAGGACAGCCGTTTAGGTTTAATGATTATTTTCACACAATTGTCAGTGAGCTTTTCAGGGTAACATGCTGCTTCTCAGTCACTTCTACTTCTTTGGATATTCCTTGGACAGTCTTGATGATTAGACACAGGGTATATCTTCAAGATCAACGACTCAAACATCACTTTTGTCAGTTAGTGTTGCGCTGAAACTAGTGTCAGATTAATATGAACTGTTCAAGGTTTGAGGGTGGAATGAAAACGTGAACTCACATAGCCAATGTCAGGTCTGTAACAGGTGTAAGCCCCCAGTACACTGTGTAGCAGGTCATGATAGGGACCACCCTGCAGAGAGAACAGAGGGAATGTTAAGACAGATAAAAGATAAAAACAGGCACACATCGGGAGGAGAAGGAAATAGTGCTAGCAATTGGGGAATTTTCCTGAGTCTTTCCTGCTGCCTTTCACATCTCTCACCACAACTCCACGCAAATGTTTTTACTAGGGGGCTAGCAGGAAAAAGTCTGGGTAAAGTCAAAGTGAACAATTCAGCTGTTCTATTTCATCCTTCCTGACCATCCAGTATTCATAGAACCGTAGTTACATACGTAACTTTCGTTTGTATTCACATGTGCAGCTAACTCCTGAAAAGTCCAGGATGTTTTTCAGGAGATTTGTGCACGTGTGAAAGCACTATACTGTATGAGTTCCTCTTGATCAAAAGGACTGAAAACTATAAAATGCTTACAGTTAGGAAAAGGTATTTTGCATGAAGGATAAAGGGTGTCTTACCTTCTGGAAGATGAAGAGGGAGGGGAACGTTCTAGAAATGTCCAGTTTAATAAGGTCCAGACTAGACTCTCTGTCAGCAAGAGAAGCCCCTCCATCTATCACAGAAATGATGATCAACATGTTATTTCCTCCACTTTGTTGTCCATGTATTTAACTGTTATAGTGAGTAGATTTTAGCATGTGTTTCGATTGAGACTAGTTTGAGTTTGAAGAGTTCAGATAAGTGCTGCGTCGTACCACTCTCGTTGTCGTTTACTGAACTGGTTTCACTGTAACTCCTCCACTTCTCTTTGGCTCTGCACAGGAAGATCTCATACAGCTCTGCACAACAAGGGGGAAAAAAGCACATTAGGTTTGTAAGTGTCAGTAAATACAGAAGCCCTGCAAGCCCACCGGTCTTACTGAAGATGAGATTCTTGTAGAACATCAAAAGAAAAGGATTTAAAAAAAACAAAAATGTGAGTGTGAATTTGTTTGAGGAGTATTTTAAGCAGCGGATGAATCCACATGTACTCTAGTAAGTATTTTAGGCAGCAGGGCAATTGTTGTGGGATAGAGTCAAAATAAACAGCATTGTGTGTGTGATCATGGTAAAGAACATGTCAACAGTGCGGATCATTCATGTGTTAATTTGACGACCATGGAGCAGTTTGTACCTGGTGTGATGTTGAGCTCGTTGCCGATGGCCAGGCTCCACACTCTGCCTCTGACACTTGGAGGAAGACCCTGCCACCACAGCTCTCTGACTCTCCTGGTCCCCTTCCTACACACATGCACATAATGGCAAAGTTACCATTTCAGCACAAACAAGCTGTATATTTGACACACGCGTAAACTTAAGGAGACGTACATGGTGTCCCAGTGTGGCAGGATCTCGCTGTTCCAGATGACCATGGCGTTGGAAATGCTGTCCTCTTGTCTGTGCCTCTCCTTCATCTGACGCTTTTTCCTCTGGGCTTCTTTCAACTCTAAAAGAGGGAGGGGGGATAAATATATGGCAAATTCCATTAAAAAGTCTTCAGTCAATGTTAATAAATGTAAGGCTACGACTGTATTTTTGATTCAAAATTGATCTCTTTTTCCATGGATCTGATAATGAACCATATTCTATCAAATGTTTATACACCCTGTCTCTTGTCAATGTAATAACGGTTTTCAATCAGAAAATTAAAACTTAAGTGGTGGCGGTAGCCTAGTGGTTAGTGTGCACACCCCATGTACGTAGTCTATAATCCTCCAAGCGGGCAGCCAGGGTTCAAACCCCACCTGTGACCCCTTTCTGCATGTCATTCCCCACTCTCTCTGATCTCTGACTTCATCCACTGTCCTATCTCTGTAATAAAGGCATAAAAAAACCTCACTTTTTAAAGATTTTGTCTGTCTGAGCTAATATGTTACTAATACATTAGTAGAAGCTGTTGTTGCCAAGGTCCGTTTTGCGGTTTTTTGGCAGCTGATGTAAAAAGTTAGTTTCAGTCCCTGGGTACATTTAGATCTTTTGATATGCTTCTTGAGTGTGTGTGTGTGTGTGTGTGTGTGTGTGTGTGTGTGTGTGTGGTGTGTGTGTGTGTGTGTGTGTGTGTGTGTGTGTGTGTGTGTGTGTGTGTGTGTGTATACCTCTCCTCTTGGCTCCTGCCACCATCTCCTCGTACTCCATTTTGTGCCTCTGAGTTTCCTCCATAGACTTGGCAGGTAGGTTCCTGAAAGTGTGAGAGAGAGTGAGAGTCAGTCAGTCAGTCAGGGAGACAGGCGGGTATACGGGCAGTCAGCCAGTTGGACAGATTGCATTTCTCTTCCTGTCAGGTGTTCAGCCACACACATAGTGACTCTCTGTGTTTGATTGAGATTCCTCTCACCAGATGCTCATTCTTGCCGATCAACAACAAATAGCCTGTTTGAGGACCACCTGGCAGCATTGAAGAAGCTGCTTCTAACTAACGGCCATAGATTCATCTGCCAGTGAGATTTTGGATGGTCTAGAGAATATCAATTGGACATTAATATTCAATGATGAATTAAACCAAGACACCACAAGACTTTAGACTTTAGACTTTATAAATTAAAAACAGAAGTAACTGACTTAATTTTCACATAAGAAGAACAAACAAGACAGGGAAAAGTAACATTTGAGAAGCTGGAACAAGAAGAAGATTGACACTTCTGTTGAAAACATTGAATCGATTAATTATATGGTTGCATCAAGGGCTAAGTCAATCTTGTATATAAAAAGGCTGAGACAAGTCTGATAACATCACTGTGGAATGTCCTAAAATAAGAGGCCACTGTTACCATCTTTAAACATATATATATATATATATATATATATACACACACACACACACACACACATGTTAACCTACTGTTGTAAATAATGTAAAAATAGAAAAAGATCTTTTGAACAGTTTTGTTGTCAAGGTTTCATGGGGGGCTGCTTGTAGGTCTACAAACCTCTATCTCTTGGTCAGTGTATTAGAGTATGAGAAACATCCTAGAGACAATCATCAGATTAAAAAGATGATATTTGAGTTCTGTTCGTTTGAGTTTGTGTGCCTGTCTGGTACTTACGGCGGCCGGTCCTCCAGGATGAGAGCTGTGGTGGAAAGAGGCTCAAATTCCAGGTTCTTCCTCCTCCCTGCAGCCAGGGGGAGCTGAGGACACACGGACATGTCTGCGTCCTTCTCTTGCTCCTGCTCCTCCTGTGGACATGGACAACAGAAAAGAGGATTTAGAGAGATGGAATGGTATTCATTTCTGTTATTTTCTCTTAAGAGTATCTTTAATGGTCATTTACAGTTGAAAGAGAGATTTACAGGCAATTAAATGCAAATAACCTGTTGTTTTTTTTTAAATAAATTGTTTTAAAAAACTCCCCAAATGATCTCCCTCAGCAGACGGAGTTGTCCAAGTTGTCATAGCAATGAAGATGTTCTAATACCAATAGTTTGGGAGCACCTTTACATCTTTTTTTCAGAACAGCCACTCAAGGGAACAACAGTGGAATTTTTCCTTGAGTTGTTTCCAAGTTTTACAATGAACTTTCAGTCTTGAATTTAAAGCAAATGACAAACAGTAACTCTTTAAAGTGCTCAGAAGTATTCCTCTTTAAAAACCTCAAAGTCCATGAAACAGAGCAAACTCCACAGAAAGAGGAAGGTGACACTCAGCTTCTAATGATGATTGTGGTATTCTCTGAGTGCCGTTTAAGTTTCTGTTTCAAGACCAAAAAAGACCTGTTATTCCGTTTTGTATTATTTATATCAATCTGGAGGAATTACAAGTTCAGCAACTTTGCTCCTTCTACATTTCTGTTACTTTTCATTAATTTACTGCTAATAGCACAGTTAGAAAATGGAAATAATAGGGACAAAAAACATCTCAAAATGCTCTCAACACTTTAATCAAGGGGGGAAATGCCTCCAAGATTTTACCTCTATATCTAAGAGGTAAAGCATACAGATTGTCTCTTCAGTGCAGCGTGCAGTGCTCGCGTTAATTGACTAAGTATGTAACAACCTTCTGTTTATCTCGGGTTTCCTTAAATTAAAGAAGTGAATGTATAGTACCTTGATGTTATTGTTTGGTTGTCAATTTTTTTGTTATCACGGAGGACGCAGGATATTGTATAAGCTTTATTAACCTGAGGGGAGTTATAACAGTATCATTGTGAACAAAATGCTTCTTTGTAATTGTGAAAGAAAATGATAAAGTTATAGAAAAGTATGTATGACAGCTAAATGCTAATACCGCTTTTTTTTAAAGGAACAAAGCAGGTCAATATAATACATGTAAAAAAATATTGTGTGGTGTGCTGGCTTGGTTCTGAATTGTAGCTAGCTAACATTAATGTAACAGCCTACATTACATTACAGGTCCTGCTGATAGTGGCAGGATGGAAGGATCACAGGACTGATCAGTGCCAGACTTATTTGTCTGCGTACAAACCAACAATGCAGGTTTTGATTGTCAAGTGTAATTCTTTTTTTTCATCCAGAACGTCAACAGGACTAACATTAGGTAGGTAAAGCATGCTAACAATATATAACATGTATTCTTCATTTAGCTGAAACTGCAGGCTGCTGGAATGTCTTTCAATTAGATTAAAATGATATGTTAACTTGTCACAAAATGCTTCTTATCAATCAAATCCTAACACTAAAAACAATACAGAATTCTGTGATCTGCAAACTTCTACACCAGGCGTTCACACAAACACAAATGGAGCAATCAGCTCCTGCACGGGGAAAAGATGTGGGTTCGTTGAAAGAAAGAATCACTAAGTCTGAATACATTACCATCAGTGTGTACATGTGAATATGCACACTCACACTCCAACACTTATACGTGTCCACAAAGCTATCAAGTGTGTATGTGTGTATATATGTGGTCATCTGTGTGTGTGTGTGTGTGTGTGTGTAAAGCCCAGCACAATAAACGGTTCATTCGCAGACAGCTGTGGGTCAACAAGACAACAAGCCTTTTATACACACAGGTGTCTCAGCTTCACCAGCAGAGGGCAGCAGAGTTTCCTCCGTGCCTCTGAAGCTTTACTGCTGCTGTGTCATCAGTTCCAAGATGAAGTGAGAGTCATATGTATGAAGTCATGTGATTTCCAAGTTAGCTTCACTTCACAGTATCATTGACTGAGTGTCAGTAAAAAACACTGTAAACATTCTGTAAAGGTTTCAGAGTGGTAGTGAGAGCAGATGGAGGAAGCAGTAAAAAGTCAAATCTTAGTCCACTTGAGGCGAGACTCTGACCAGAAACAGTGTTGATGGGATATAAACAGTCATCTTACTGTTCAGAATTGATAACAATAAATGACCATCTTCCTTCTTTTTTTTATATTCCTTTTGGCTGGAACGTAATTAGAAATAGTATAGATAGAGCTATGGCAAAAACCCCTCTTTTTCAAACTGAGGGCTTGTACGATTATTTAGGAAAAATGGGCATTTAAATATGCAAATCTACTGAGCCAGCCCAAGCGGGATTTGTCAAACTTCAGGTTTTTGTAATTCTTTGTAATTTCTTTTTTAAATTTTCTTTCCCACTTTACCAATGCCATTTGGTTTCCATGACCTTTAGGCTATAGAGTGAATCATATTTAGGACAGGACCTGCTGTAGAAGTTTAGCAGTGGAGTCATGTCAAGATTAATAATGTGTGTTAACTGTGGGAATGATACTCCTGACATTATTGTGGCTGATAATGAGGTTTTACAGAACATGAACAGGACTTTTATTTTGGCAGAACTGACTGGTTGTCCCTCGGCATCTCTGAGCTAATACCTGTGTTACAAAAAGAAAAAAAAACTGTATTTAAAAGAAATAATGAATGCATCAAATCTCCTCCTCCTCCTCTTTTCTTCTTCTCTTGCACAGTGTTGTGTCTCATGTGTCAGCTATGCAAGGCCAAACCACATCTGGCAGGCTCCTTTCCTGATGAATCATCTGACTCTGGCTGTCATCATGTGAGCAGAGTGAGTGCAGAGAGCAGCGGCCTTCAGCGCGTCTTTTCTGCCTGCACAATGCAGGGTCAGAAGCTACCCAGGAGCTAAAATAAGGATTGAAGGTATTCGGTGTCTTATTTGAGAGAGCTTCAGAAGGATGGTACAGCGTCTCTGACTTGAGTGTGATCAAACTAATGGATATCTCATTGTGAGCTTCAACTGCTTCTTCACAGTTTTCTGTTTTTGTCTGACAGGAAAAACAAATATCATTCAATTAAATCAAAACAGAGACACAACCTGCTAACGCAGTGTGTGTGCATGTGCAGTGTGTGTAGCGTGCTTGCTTGTGTGTGTGTCAAGGATACCACCTGCTCTATGACAGCAGAGGAGCAGCTGTGTGTGTTTGAGTGTGTATGGGTGTAATTTCTGGCAGGCTCTTAAAGCAAGCTGCAAGTGGGGGATAGAGGGATACATTCTGAGTGTGTGTTGGTGTGTTGGTGTGTGTGTGTGGAGTGGGTTAAAATCTGCATCCTGAGCTGCAGGCAGTGAGTGGTAGTTGCCTGGCGACCACATACACACACAGTAAATCCATTTAACAGTCTCATACCAGCCACTATATTGCTTGTAAACAGACAAGGGCTAACAGCATTAGACACTGGAGTCTTGACTGCATCATGCTAACCACTAAGACATCTCACCGGCTTAAAGGTCCCATATTATACTTTTATTATACATATTATACTTATATGTTCTTTTCCAAGTGTCCTGTGCATGTTTAGGCACATCTATGTGCAAAAATTCAAAGTCCGCGGAAACGCGGCTTCTCCTACATTCTCCAATTAGCTGCAGCATTAGCTGCATAAAACGCTCAGCTCTAGCCCCCCTCGAAAAAAAATTGTGACGACTTGTCAGTGTGAGATCACTGATCTAAGTCCATTGGCTTGTTGTGGCAAGCCCAGCAGCTCATGTTGCACGCCTGTTAACTTCTGTAGCACACCCACAATATGATGTAGCCTGCGGTAGCACAGTAGTGCTAACGTGCTAATATTTTTGCTCCCCTCGGAGCCAAAGTGGCTGCATTCCCAATATGGTAAAGTGGGCGGGACATTTCCGAGAATGTCCTGACCAATTACGGCAGAGCTGACAGGCCGACCAATCAGATCAGACTTGGCACACTCTGAACGTGGGCACTTCAGAGCCTTCGAGAGAGAGTCAGAAGTGAGCTGGTGCATGGAGCGGCAGTACATGAAAACAGAGACTTTTTTCAAACTTTAGCTATTGTGAACATACTTTAGTAGGTACATAGATTAAATATATGAACCCCAAAAAGGGCATAATATGGGCTCTTTAATATGACCTCTTTTGACAAGCTACACTTCACTGTGTGCATTGGTTTTTACTTCCTTAGTTAAGTAAGAAGGAAGGAGCTCCAACTGAAATATAATTAAGTATCTGGATTTTGAAAAAGCCCCTCTAACATAAATTCAACAAATAATCATAAATAATAATAATAATAATAATTTTTACATGATTCACTCTAGGGCTACAAACCACAACCCTTCATTTCTTCAATCAAAATGAGTCATTGGGTATTAAGATGTCCGGAACAAAACACCTGAAAGTGATTTATTTTAAAGTCTTTTTTTTTGTCAGACAGTCAAAGCTACAGAGAAATCCCATCCCCTTCACATTTCTTCTTTCAGATTTGCCTTCATGTAGGTCACATTTACACTTTGGAAAATACACAATACTTCTGATTTAACAAGAAAAATCACATCCTCACTTCCAACTACCCAAAAATATCGACAAAGCCATGGAAGAAGAGCAGGGTCATAAGCTAACACTAGAACAAAGGTATCAGGATGATAGTGAGCATTCACTTGTATTATGTCAGTTTTTGTGTGTGTGTGTGTGTGTGTGTGTGTGTGTGTGTGTGTGTGTGTGTGTGTGTGTGTGTGTGTGTGTGTGTGTGTGTGTGTGTGTGTGTGTGTGTGTGTGTGTGTGTAGAGCCTACCTGCTGAGTTAACTCTGGGGAGGCGGGTTCTTTAGTTTGATCGTCCTCTCTGGTTGATGTCTTTCCAAACAGTCGCCACCCTGTTGCATTATGGGATAGTGCCTTGGGCTCTTTGGGTTTTCTAGAAAACAGGCTCCTGTGAGAGAGAGAGAGAGAGAGAGAGAGAGAGAGAATTAGATTCTCATTATAAACACGTGTCTGCTCACATTGAACAATACTCTGTTCTTGAATTAAAGCAAAACAGAAACAATAAGTGGATGTACACAAATCTGAAACATTTTTTTCCAGAATACTTTTAACATATCTTTCCAGGAGCTTGTGTTAATCAGCAATTGTCTTTTCATATGTCCTTTATGAAGCTTAACTTGACTACTAAAAGGGAATAGAATAGATCTTTATGCCTATGAAAAAAACTGTAGTCTGAAAAAAACCTCTCAAAAGTGGCGAGGTAGTGTCAAACAGTTGTCTGAACAACAAACAGTCATAAATAATAAAGTATTGGCTGCCTGTGAAAAGAAACTGTTTGTCTTTATTGTCTGGTGTCTCCTTCCAGAGGAGAAGGGCAAGAACAGACTATGTCCAAGCTGGATGAGGTCTTTTATAATACAGTTGGCTTTTCAATGGGCCCATGTATGTGTGTTTGTCAGTGTGGTCCCAATCAACCGCTCTGCCGCCCTCATCACCTGCTGTCAGACCTTCCTGTCCTCTGCTGTGCAGCTGTGAAACCACACAGTGCAGCAGTAGGCCAGCAGGCTTCCAATGGTGGAGTGAGTAGAAGAAGTTAATAAGCAGGAAAGTGAGTCTGCTTCAGCTTCCTGAGGAAGTGGAGTCTCTGCTCAGACTTCGCCACCTGGTAGGACTTGTTTTTATAGTCCAGGTGAGGAGAGCTGAGATGCCCAAAGAAACTTTAAGCTCTCCAACCTCTCTACCTCCTAAATATTGGATGTGTGTTAATGTAGAAGTAGAAGTGTTTTTCTTCTTCTAAATTAATTTGATGTTTTTGTTGCATATTGGTGTCATAATACTTTGTCGGTTACAATATAGTTTCAACTTTCTTTTCAGTGACCTCAGAATCTCTATCTTAAAAGCCATCTAAAATCAAAAGTCATTGCGGCAAAACTGAAATTCCAGAGAAAAACTTTCAGTTCCTCAAAATGACCAAAGAATCCAGAAATGCAGATATGACAGGGAAGACATAATGCAGTAAATCTAAGCAGATCATCGTCAGTCTAACCACAACTGTGCAGCTGAAGCAGTTTTTTCGTGATGCTGGAGGGAAAAAATTAATGCCAGATCAACAGTTTTACGTTCCTTCAGTGGAAGTGTCTGCTGTTCAGCTGCTGGCACGACAGAGAGGGGGAGCGAGGGAGGGGAACTGAAGGAATTATGAAAAGGAAGTGGAGCTGCGAAGGAGAACAAGAGCAAATACACACACACGCACACAAGGATAGACGCTGTGACCTAAGCAGACAGCCAAGCAAATATTATTCTTCTGCTCTCTACAGGCTCCAGTTTCATCACTCTAAAGTGTTTTTGTGTGTGTTTGTAAATCCACTTAAGTGTCAGACAGCAGGGCTTGGATGTCTCAATATTACATGTAGTGATTAGGAAAGGCCCTTCATTCATAAACGATTGTGCCGTTTCATTTGCACAGTGTCTCTTTATACTTTTTGACCTTTCATTTTTGAAGTTATAAATGTATGATGCTCAAATACAGTCAGCTGATCTATCAGACTTTTTGGGAATAAGAAGAGCGATTTGCAGTCTTGTAGTTTAGATACAACAGGTTAGGTTGTCACTATTAATACTCCAGCAGGAGCAGCAAAAAGAAACCAGTGTTGTCCTTCATGTCAGTTTCATCAAGCTGTCCCACTGATCAGAAGCAGCCTTGTTCTTATCAAACACCTGAGCAGCACCTGTAGCTGCTCATTTAAAAAAAAAAAGGCATCACGTGGTGGATCCTGTTTTATCCCACAGAGCAAGAAAGAAGACATCAATAATGCCATACAAACAGAGACATAATGAGCCTGTCTAATAATGAGTGTGTGTTTTTGTGTTGTGGGTTTGATATGTGTAATAGGATCTAACCTCACTCCCTTAAGAGGAGCGGACAGGATGTGTGTGTGTGTGTGTGTGTGTGTGTGTGTGTGTGTGTGTGTGTGTGTGTGTGTAAATAATTCACCACAGAGATGATCAAAGCTAAATGAATTAAAGGTGGGTCAGTAAATGGAAGTGCACAAAAGACTTCAAGAGACAGAACAGGAGGAATGTCTTGATTTTTGGAAGAGACGTTGCTGATGGGTGTGTATATTTCACCCCTCAGCTTCACACTCCAAGCTGGTATCACAAAGACAAACCGCTTACATTGCATTTTTAAAGATGCCAGTACTGAGAGCCCTCTGACACAAGAGCACTTTAAAAAAAAAACACACTATTGGTGAAAAACACTGACTGCTGACATTTTGCTAGCTTTGACAAACATCACACTCTCAGCCACCACCTGTTGTTATTTTTGTTGCTATCATCACTTGATAATAACTGGAACCTGATGTTGGGGAGGGCTAACAGTAAAAAAAAATTGGTATCAGATCAGTGCATTGACCTGCATACTTGGCAAAATATCTCCAGAGGCGCTGCTTTTCAACAAGCATGGCAGGCAACTGCTTTAGGCCCCAGACCAATAGGGGGCCCCTTAGGGCTCACAAACTTAAACCAAAGCAGTGGCCCCAAATGTGGATATTTTTGCAATGACAGGCTCTCTAAGAGCCTCCATCTGTAGCCTCCTGTTGCCCTGCTAAGCGTTGCATGCAGTGAAAACTAAAGTTAGTCCATGAAGTAAACAAAGAAAAGTAAAGAGGAATTATCCATCTACAGGGGGGAGAAACTCATTGGGACACTGGCAAACACAATGGTGGTGATGAACGCTGGTTGGAGGGCCCCCCATTTGACTTTTGCCATGCAGGGCCCAACCAGACTCTAGAATCACCACTGTATATCTCCTGATATAATATACTCTGGCTAATTTAACACAAGATTCCACTGAAAGTGCATGGGAGTTTGATGATTTAAATAAGTTAGCTGTTCTTTCTCTTATTTAACAGATGGCTAAATTGACCTTTTAGGTAATGATACTGAGGATTAAGGTCACACAATGCTAATAAATAAGCTGCTAATGAAAAGTTTAAAGTTCTCTGCAATCTGCTAAAGGGCAAAGTTTCTTAAATGTGCATTCCTGTTTGTATTTGTTTAGCTCTGATCGTTTCAGCTGCGGACCCTCCCTGACTTGCCATCAGCTCTGTGAACCAAACAGCCAGCGTGGAGGTTTTCCAGTAGGGCTGTTTTCTCTCCTCCGTCTGTCTGGATTTACTCTCAGACGCAGTAACATTGGAGCCAGCTGCTGAGGCCTGCGTCCAAATCCAAAACCAGGCCTGAAACAGATGGGGATTTAACAAACAGAAATTTTCCTACACCTGCCAGTCAAGCCAGATTTGACTGCCTCAGTAAACACACAGAGAAAAGAAACCCCTCTGGCGCTGAGCTGGGCTGCTGTCTTTCAGATTAATTCAATTTTGTCAGGACTGAGGTGCCTTAGCGTCACTTTGCCTTTCACTTCCTTGACCGTCTTTACAGGAATGTTGTCAGGCCGCTGTTTCTTTCCCTTCACTTTTCATGTCTTGTAAAGTTGATGATCAAATATTGTTGTCCAACTTTCCAAGACATTGACTTTACTGGAAGGTATTTAGTACGGCTCCTTCAAAGCCCAACACATTATGCAAAGGTGGTGGGTCAGAATATCTGTTTGGTAATATCATCATCCTGACTTCTGTGATACAATTATCACATTTCTGGAACTAAATATTGATATAATCATTTCAAAGAATGCAGTGCTTTGAACAGATTTACCAGTCAGTCATTCTATCATTTCCATCCTTAACAATATAAGATGAGATTGAATTGGAAATCCTGAAAGGAAGAAGCTGACTAAATACTCAGCTGTCATCAAACAGCATACAAAAACCATTTTGATTAAGCCTGGAGCTGATTCGCCTCTTTTTAAGTGTACAAAGGCTATTCAAAATTCTTGAAAGTCCTTTACCACATTAAGAGACGGTCAGATTCAGCCTCTCTTTGACTTCTATTTACTTCTCAAACAGTGCTTTAACAAGTTCATCTTCTGTATTTCTCTCCTAATTATCCTCATGTTTGTTGTCCTTCTGGCCTGTAAATGTAGACACTCCTGCAGATCTTTAGTTTTAAACAAACAGCCCCATCAGCAAACTCTCTGCCTAGAGGCGATGCTTTAAACTCCACACAGCCAACCTGCCTGACCTCGCTTTGAGTTCTGAAAAAAAAAAAAACTTCAAAACGCAGTATGTTTCACGCCTGGCATGTGTACAGTCACAACATCTGTGCAGCAGCGGTGCAAAGGTTAAATGGTGTGATGAAGCAGCCTGAAGCCTCAGCAATAGAAAGAAGAGCATAGAGAGAGCAGTAAATGAGGGCTAAGCCCTGAGGACAGAGGCTGCACTCAGTCAATGCTCAGTGAGGCCTGCTGTATCACTTACTGCACATACATAACTGGGGCATTAATAACATGTAGCCTATTGCACAGCTATAGGCCCCAGACTGCAGCTCTGACACTTTGTGAAAAGAAGCAGATAAATGTCAAATGGTCAACTTCCCTGGCTTACCCCCACCTTAATTCCTCTTTTATGACAAAAAAAGTAATATTAAATATGGGTCATTTGGTGCCATTTTAGCCGAGGGCTTTTTTTTTTTTTTTTTTTTTTACTTTTTGGATTTCTTTGAGCCATTGCGCATGCCACTTAAGTCATAAAAGTAATACAAAGTTGTATTGGCTCTTACATAAACAGACATATCTGTCTACCTGGACAGACCCCAGTGCTAACCAAACAAGGAGACGATTAGCGATTAAAGAGTTAGACCACAAATATCGCCAAAATAAAATCTATTTGTTATGCTCCAGATGCTGAACAAATGCCAGATCCTCATTACAAATTGAGATCTGTTCTTGATTAACTTACATCCAGACCAGATGGAGGAGGAGACTTGGTGGGAGCTGGAAAGAAATGACTGAAGGAGAGAAGATGAAGGTGTATTTGAGGGACAGGTCCACTCTGTGCACAAACCAGTATTGGCCTCAAGGTGAACCTGTATCTCATTTAAATATTGTCAGACTCCAATGATCTGCCACGGAGGGAGGGAGTAACCTGACATTCTGAGGGTGTTGATCTTTATTGATTGGTTGTATGAGGGATGCTGCAGGGTAGGATTGAGTGTGAAGACAGGAACAAGGAATGAGTTACAGCAACATGTGAGAGTTGAAAGGTGTTTGTATTTTTAACCTCTTCATTCCACCCATGTTAGCTTCAGATGCTGGGGTCCGTATGTTCTTGCGACAGCTGCTCTTGTTGCCACAGTATCTGAGTACATATCTCCATCCGTTCATGCCTGACCACAGCTCAACATACACGCCTAGCTAAGACTTAAACCAAACACAACGGCACAAAACATATTATACACACAAATAAAGGAAAAGCCTTTGTGTATGAATTATCCATTATGTCTACGACTGTTCCAAAAAAAAAAAAAATGTCTGTTCTCATTGGTCTTAATTTGCTATTTAAATGAAATGGTGGGAACAAAATGCAGTAAGAAAATGGATTGTATTCTTCAGTTGGATTTCTGTTTATTTCCTTTAAATCTGAAACAGAGGAAGGATAGAGAATATGTCTGTGGGCCTATTTTCCTGTGTCCAATACCTTGCAATATAAAAAAATGCAGGAGCAGTTTGGAGTACTAAATGAACCATATCCATATAGTGTCAACTTTCTCAGATTCTTTTAAGTCTGTGGCTTTTTATGCTTTTTTTTTTATATTCACCACATTAATGGACTGTGTGTTCACCACCAGTGAGAGAGACTGGGGGTGTGGGGGGGAGAGAGAGAGGGAGGGATGTAGTATTACCTGGTAAAGAAATCAGCAATGCCGAACCTCTTTGGCATCAGCTTGGGGTCCGAGCTGTCTGTCTGCTCCGTTAGGTCTGGCAGATTGTCCGGGGCGCTCTGTCTGCGACCCGCCTCCAAAACGTTCCTGAAGTCCTCCTCGTAACCCTCGTCTCCAAAATAAAAGCCGCCGCCGTCGTCGGGGGACAGCGGGGTGGCATCACAGCTGAGGGAGAACGCAAGGTTGGGATTAGTCCTCAAACTCTGCGGCCTGACGGGTAAACTCAGGTCACTGAAGTCCTCGTCGTCCTCCCTGATGTTGGGTTCAGAGAGCGGGCTGTCACCGTTCACGCCGGAGGGTGTGTGCGTAAAGGGTGAGGGGAGTTTGGCACTTGATCCCTCGCAGGGAGAGTCTTTGGACGGGGATGGGGCGGAGGAGGGCTCGAAGGAATGATTGAGTCCTGCAAAAGCTGGTGCCTCCTCCTCCTCCCCCGGGCACTGAGAGCCCGGTGTCACACTGAAGGCCTTTAGATTCAGACAAAATCCCGACCTGGCCCCGTTTTCCTCCCCTAACCCCAGGTCGAAATCAATTGCAGTGTCTTGCTCGGCCGAGAAGTCCGAGTCGGGCCAGTCACATGAATGTCTGGCTGCTGCCACGATGTGTAAACCACCGTTGGCTACTTTCACTTCCTCGCAGTCCACGTCGCACAAACCGAGTCTCTGGTCCAGACTGGAAAACATCTCCGCTTGTTTGCAATGGGCTACATCCACGTCTGGACCGCCGCATCCCGGGCTGTCAACATCCCCGTTGGGCATGTTTACATCTGGACCCGAGGGGACATCCGTAGTGCAGGCGCAGTTCCGCTGGTGCCTCCCCGTGCATGGCAACCGATCAAGTAGAGTAGAAGTCCGTATGCAGCCGACCGACTCTTCTACCGGGGTAACGTCGTCGGAATCCGGGGTTTCCCCTTCGCTCTCCCCCGCAGGATCCTGCCGCATCTGTCTGCCCTCTTCCACTGAAACCCGAGCCCCGAGCACAGCTGGACAGGAAGCGTCAGTGGTCCCTGCGAGGCCGAGCCCATCTCCTTCCCCTTCCCGTCCTCCCCCTCTTTCCAGCTCGATCACCGTCGGCTCAGCCTCACCGAGTGACTCAGTAAATCCGTTCATGCCACTGTGGTCGCCGCAAACCCCAGAAATCACACAGCTGTCCGTCAGCTGCCCCGGGAGGCACGTCTCCCCTGCGACCAAATCCAACATTATCTCCCTCTTGTGTGGAGGCGGCTGTACTGAGGCGTCTCTGTTTACATTCCTGCCGTTCCCGGTCACGTAAATTTGACCCCTCGCGGCTTCCTGACCCCCACTGTCACCGGTCAGCAACGCCGCGCTGCGGTCTTTGACTGCGAGGTGAGCTTTCGGACCCGATTTTCTCCGTCCCCCTCCGTCCACCCTTTCTTCGTTCTCGTTAAAATCGACAGCGAAGGACCCTCCGTTCTCAGTCGTCGTTTCCATGACTACTCAGTCCGTCAAGTGAGCCTCGGCCCGCGGCATATAATCCCTGCAACGAGTCCGCCTGTTCCGTCGGCCGAGCTCCGCAGCAGCAGCAGCAGCAGCAGCAGGTTTTTGTTGTTCCTGGAGGAAGGGGCTACCATTTTAGCCAGGGATATACCCAACGTTACCTGACAGTCACACGATGCAACATGTTACGTCCTGGGGTCTGAAATGATAATATTTTATCAGTCTGGTAGGAGGTGACGTCGACGCAGAAGCAGAAGATTAATTAAATCCCTCAGCGTTTAGCTGGCTGCTGCAGCGGTATCCCGGCCACAGTCCAGCGCCATCTTGAAAATACCCCAACAATGACGTCATGCCTCCCACTCGCTCTGTATCTGTTTTGATTCGCTGGTGTGTGTGTGTGTATATGTGTGTGTGTGTGTGTGTGTGTGTGTGTGTGTGGGGGGGGGGGGGGTTGCACTGACCCCCTTTGGTCACTCCGCGCTACTACAACAGATGTCTGACGTCTGACCCCGTTGACCCCGCAATAATGACCGCAAATAATAATTATCAGGATACAACTTAGCAACACTCCAAAAAAAAAAACTCCAATATAAGTTAAAAAAAAAAACATGCATTTAAGAAGTTACAAAAGTGTTCTGAACAAAATGTTTTTTTTTGAGGTTGAAGTGTCATGGACTGTTTTCATCAGGAAATCTGGTGTTGCTGCATGTTAAACTGTCATCATTTGCACAACCTCCATCATGCACATGGCCACATCAATTTCCTGACAGTTTCTTGTTTTTGCAAAAAAAAAAAAAAAAAAAAAATGGCATCACGATCCAAACCTGCATGGTGATACAATTTTAGGGCCCATAAGAGGTTCCTCTTTGAATGAGGAGTTGTCTTAGGCAGGTTCACTTTGGTTCTAGCTGGCTGGGTTCTGGACAGTATTACCGTGTTGTCTCAGTCGTGTTGAGTTTAATGACCTTTCACTTCCAGCTGGAGTACGGCCTCAGCCTCTTCTGTGTCTCAATCACAGCTCAGTATACAATCAGGGTGAGATGCCCCTAGCTGTATCCATACAGTCCGCTTGTTCACTTACCTAATGGCACGTCAGGCCGGACCTTGTTGATTTCGACTTCATAAAGCCCCTTATCAGCTTTACTCAGGTCTTTCATGGTCAAACGTCCAGTGGTTATGTGAGTTGTCTAAACCTGATGTAGTAATACAATGGAACTGTATCCTCCACCCACTCAGCCAACAGATCACCTTTGAGTTTCCAGAAAATCATGTATGTTCCAACACAGGAGGTCTCAACTCGAGCTCAACGCAAACCCTGGGGTTAAGAATTATGTCTTCAGCTATTAGAAACATTCAGATCAGCCAACGGCAGAACTGTCAGGAGCCCCAAAAACCGTGTATACCTCCATGTCCACAAATCAACCAAATGGGACTGAAGGTACGCTTTGTTATTGCTTTGTAGGGATTTCTTTTCACTTTGGCAAAAATGACAAATATAAGGCCTAGGTGCTTTTTGTCACCACAGTTCAGCCTCTTCATATTTACATTTCAATAAGTAGTACTTAGAATAGGTGCATCATGTAATACAATAACATTTAGAATAAGGCCTGTTTTCTTTTTAGGAAGTTGCACTAATTCAATCAAAAATACCTCCTCTAGGGAGGCCTGTCCTCTTACAAAGTATCCATGGAGATGTGGAGGTTGGGTGGCTCAGGTCTTTTTTTGGCAAAATCTGAAGTTTTTCAACAGTCACAGAATCATTTCTTCACGCATATTTATAGTTTATCATCATCAAACGGTATATATTGTCCAAACGGTTGTTTTTATTGGTCTACTCAATGTGCATAACCTACTGTATTCATGGTCTGTATTCTGTTTCTTTTCTTGAGCTGTCTTTTCTTTTTTTCTCATCAAAAGGAGTAGTTGAAATGGTTTGGCTGTCTGATTATGATACCCTTTTTGTTGCCTTTCTTTGAATGTTTTCAGATCAGATCATATATTCCTTAATAATTCATGAGGGGAAATTAGATTTTCAACTGCACAAACAGGACTCTATGAACATTATGCATTAATGGAGAGATGTCAGAGTGATGGAGCTGCACACGAAAGAGCATTTTGGTGTCTTTCTTAATGGCGCCTCGGCAGTGCTCAGAAAGTGAACTGGCACCTTTCCAGCTAACTAGCCAAATGTCCAAACTTTTGCAAGCACTTCAAATTGGGAGGAGATCCCTATGGAAGACCCGCCGGAGATTAGATTTCTCATCAAGGCGGAGAACACATTGACGGCATAAAGGAGGAAATAATGGATTGATGGATGAGTGGGGAGCCGAAGGACAGAGGATGTGTAAGGCTGTACATATTTTACAGGGCCTGGTGGGCCGGCAGTCGCTCAGTGGTGGAGCAGGCTTGTCTTCTAGCCAGAGTGGTGTGACACTGAGACGTGCATTTCTCCAGAGTGCATAGATTTGCACTTTAACAGGCTCAGTCATCAGTGTACAAAGGGAGGAAAATGCAAATAAAAAAAATGGCTAATTTGTGATATTGACTTAATTGGATGTATCGCCATTGATTGTACAGGCATGGATGAAGTATACTAACTTTGATGAGCCTCTGACTTTTCATCTAGTAGTTCAACAGGTCGAAGTTTGATTATGTCCAAAGACCTACGAAAGTGTTTATATTCCCATCAGTCTTTGAGTTTATCTCAGAACCCTGCGGCTGACGTCTGATGACATTATAGCCTCTGAGACAGTGTAGCCCACAGTAAGCCATAAAGGACTTCTTCTGGCCAAGACTTGTTCTTCTGTGCGTTACCATTGTTTCATGTCCAAATAGGACCTTGAGAAGCAAAATATATACGTGTATAATAAAAAATAAAATGAAGATAGAAAATGTTGGATTTGATTGGGTCAATGAACAGCCCTAAGTGGCATCTTCTTTGTATATTACATATGAATCAATGTGAATTGCATGCTTGTTAAATAGACAAAATAATAATTTGATTGCTTTCCCTACTTTTACTCTCCACATGGACTGTTTCACTGTGTACAGTCCAAGCAATTACTGAAACACTAATGATGAAACTACTCTGACGGCAAAGGGTAACCAGAACACTTCTGATATCAAACTGATCTCATGCCTAAATATTTAGTATTTTAATGAAGAATATATAAGACTAGCTAATAAGCATCTATAAATACATTTAAAAGCTGATGAAGTTCAGTTTTGGATCAGTATCAAAAGTGAAATATATATATAAAATATATAAAAGTGAAATTCATTGATGTAAGAGTTGAAGGTTCGAGTGCTGAATACTGAATATAAAACCTGTTTAATAAAATGACTTCATAAAAGCTGTAAAACAAACTCAAGAACACAAGGCGAGAGTGTTACTGTTACCCTCTCTGATGTTGAATTATGGGTGAGAAAAAAAAGAAGTATGTTCTGTCTGCATTGTAAGGAAAATAATGAGACATTTAAAAACTGGACTATGGATGTTTTAATCGTTTACTGCTCTTAAGTAAATATAGAATTTAACTTTTCAAAGACCCATACCAGAGTACATACAAATACATGATCCACATGGTGCGTGTATACTGTTACAAAATGAAAGCATTAAAAACATCTCAGGCAGCATTTCTTCTAATATTTTCACATCTTTAATTACATATCAATATATAATTTATGATACATTTGAAAACATGTCAACCTGATAGTTTAAGGCACAGGAGGTAGAGTGTTTCCATCTGTCGTCTCACAGAAAGCAGTGAATGTTCATACTTACTTGGACTAGCACGTCCTTTCTGTGGTACAAAATTACATTAATGTGACTCGTTTTTTTTTTTTAAATTGATGACAGTTTTGTTGTTTCAAACAAAAACCTTTATAATTGATAAAGAAGCATCAATTCTACAGCTGGGGATGAAACGCTGAGATTTGATTTACAAACTGCTCAACATAAATTACTAATATGTCCAACTTTGCTTCACAGAAGATAAATTATTATTCCTGACTGACCCTCAGGCTGCAGCTCTGCAAGATCATCACTCCCAAATTAGATACAAAGTTTGGTCTTGTGTGTAACTTGTTTGGCTTGTTATTTATTCATATATTTGAGAATGTTTACTGAAAAGTATTTCTTATTTAAATCAGAGCTACCAGAGCTTCCGTCCAGTTTTAGGTATAGGGCTGTTGTTTTTTAAATTCATATCTGACCAGAATTATTTACAGTGTGGCTTATGATAACAGCAAGAACCATTATCGATCGGGAGAAGGAGTTCTGTTTCATAATCATCTCAGAGCTTAAACTCCAGAAATAAATCATGAATAGCATAATGCATCAGAGTAAGGCGCATATAGTTTCAGTTTTCATACAGGTGAGCATGTGCTGTGAGTTTTTACATTGTAACACACAAACAAATCAAAGGTTGAAGAGTTTGTTTTTCAGTTTAGTGCCACAGGAAACTCTGTTTCAGCCTTTTATGTTTCTGTAAAACAAATGCTGACTGCCAACCAGATATTAAGGCATAATCACAAAACTGCTTCCTTACCGTTTCAAATTATGGCACTGTTATTTGTTTTCTGTATCATTTACCAAAGTGAAGGATTTCATTCAGCTAGTGAGGTTAGGCAGCAGCAGCTTGGCATGCTTTTGCATTGACACTGCTTTAATAACGTTTTTACTGGCGTAATCAAGAAGTTTTTTGGTTTTAGAGAGGAGGAGACCTCTGTGGATGACACAGCTCCTGTCAAAAACGCTGAACACTGAAGGCTACTTTTGTGCCTTGCTTGTTTAAGTTTACAGCCTGCTATGCTGCTCCTGCATAGTTCTATTTATATATATATAGTTCTCGACTGATCATTTCAATAGTTACCTTTAGAGGCAGCCTTATACCTGATGACATACTTAGCTACTGTGAACACTTATCAAAGGTCCATTATGGAATGTATTATGAATTAAATCATAAAATGACCTTACTATATAATCAGGCATAAAGGAAACATACTATGTCGAAGTGCTGGCTTCTCTATCAAAAAAACAGCAGCCAATATGTCCTTTAAGTTTTGATTCCACTGTGGAATGATTTCTATTTGTTTTGACCAGAAAAATAGGCAGCACCCCCCACACAGACGTTTTGCCTCTCGCCCCTCGGTGGGCCAGGCAAACAGCAAACCAACAGGTGATGCAGCGATGAAAGAGGGCAGGTGAACTGGTTCAGATATAACTGATTGTACCTGACCTATATAGCCTCTGCATTTTTTAAATAAGCTGTAAGGCCAGAAATGTGGTCAAACTGGGAGACATATTGGAGATGCTTTTGAAAAAAGGAGAGGGGTAAGAATATAGAAAGGCCAATGCAGAGCTGGCTAAACACTGAAGCTTCCGAGTCCGTGCCATGGCAACCTGCGTGAACATCGACTCTAGGGAGATGGGGCGGAGGGGGTAGACAGCTCTCTCCAATGTTTTGAATTTGGACTGAAGTACCCGTTTTAAACGCTAGGTGTCACAGTTACATATTGGTCCTTGAAAAATATGGGCACTTGCAGAAAATGAGTTCAAACTATCTGACATAGGTGTAACTCATCTGTATTTTGAGGGACTTCTAACACGTTTGACCTAGGCACACGTGACATAAATGTTCCTGCACTGTCACTGTAATTTTATCATCTGTGGCAAACTCTGGTGGAAAGCCCCAACTATTCCATCACACTTTATCGAGAAGGAAATACGTTTTTCCGACTCCCCAGCCTCTCTGGAATGTATAAGACGTAAATCCGACCTGTTGTATCTGTGCTCTCTCTACTTCCCAAATAAGGCACAAGCACCACATTAAGGAAATTCAATAAAAAGGCAGTGAATCGATTGTTTGGCTTCTGTGTAAAATAAGATACAAGAGGAAAAGTCAAGTCAGGACTCTCCCCTTAAATTCACAGAGACAGCATTGGTCCCCATCGAAGCTCTCGTCCCATTGTCAATGTCACATAAACAAATACAAAAGTGAGCACGCTGATCAGACCTTTTTGCTCAATTAAAGGGGCAGTTCATAATTTTGAGGCAACAGGTGCAGTCGGAATGAAGGAATGTTCAAGCTGGCTTCATTTGAAGTTTGATTTCCATTTGTCATCCTCATACAAAAGAGCCTTGTGAATAAAAAAGATAGACAGGACATGATTAATGGAAAGAATGCAGAAATGTTCATGGCAGCAAGTGGAGCCTTTTTTATGCTTTTGTTATCAAATATAGCTTAATTTTGACCAGGCTTTCATTTAAAAGGCAGGTCACTTAAAGGCTAAGTGTTGTGTAATGACTGTTGCCTCTGTATCAGCACAGTGTTCTCTCACCTTGCTCTCCAGCACTCGGTTGTGTGTAGGGCTGCTGAGCTCCTCCAGCGTCTCCGCGGAAGGTTTGTCGAGTGTTTCAGGCAGCAGGAGGCCCACACAGCCCGCAGACAGACCGCTCAGACAGAACACAGTGAAGGGCATAGAGGTGTGGAGAGCCCGCTGGAACACAGAGAAAAACAAAAACAAAGTCTGTCTGAGTCTTCCGACGCTCTTTGGTGTCTAAAGATGATTTTTAATTTGAAACTGCTTTATTGATTTTCTTTCTCCTGGTTCAGTGCAGGTCAGTTTGTTTAAAAGAGAAGGAGACTTCTGCAGAGATTTTGTGTCCACAGGAAAATGTTGTGAATGCTGAACACTCCCAAGGTTCATTTTGAAACTCACTTTATTAAGTCTACAGGCCGGCCATGCTATCACCACTTCATGTGTACAATGAGGCAGGTAAAATAATAGTGTGCAGACTGACAAAAGGAAAGTTGCCTCTGGTGTTCTTCGTACTCATGATTCAAATTGTCAACCTTGTTGATTCTTTTCAGTTTACAGTTAAAAAAACCCTGTAGACACATGAACACAATGTAAAGTTTCACTAATTATACTTTCTAAAGCATCTTCATTTAATTAAAAGTGATAAATAACACAAGACATCTGCAAATCCAAAGAATTAAAATCTTTAGTGAGGCACTGAGAGAGCAGCAGACACTTATGGGACACTGATGGCTAAACTGGCACATTACAGAAATGTTATGAATGGGTGAACTGTGACTTTAACCTGTATAAATAAATAAATGAAACAATAAATGGTCAGAGATGATCTATCTCTCTTGGGTTAAGGTTACTCACACTCAGCAAAGTTGTCCCGTACTGCGCTTAAACACTTTTTTTCTTGACCTCTTGTTGTCATGGTTTTACTATTCACAGTTTGTGTTCCGTAGTTTAAAAACATTTCTATTGATAAGTTGTAAGGGGCCAAATACTGATGAACAGAAGACAGAACTCTGAGGTTTACATGGGGGGAAATTCCCAACCTCGCCGCACACCTGCTCTGCCTGAACTTGAGCCTACACTGCTGCTGGACAGAAGGATTGTGGGATGTAGATAACAGCTCCATGGGAAAAGGATTCTCACTCTCTCTTCCCCCCTGATAAGAAGTATTTATCTGCAAACCTCACCCGGCTCTGCAGCACTAAATGTACTTGGTTCTTTCTGGGTCCATTTGTTACTTTTTAACTATAAGTTCAAAGCTATCTCTAAAATCAAACAATTCTAGGATATAACTTTTATTTTAAGCAACAAAGAAATCTGCCAACACTGAGAAATATTTAAAAACAGGATTGACTTCCCTGTAGTGCCTTAAGGTGTGGCTGTCAGAAACATCATGTGAGTGAACATGTGAGTGAAAAGTATTTAGATACCTTTGAGAGCAATAGTTTAGTCCTTTTTTGTCTTCCTAATTAAGAGAAAAACTGTCTTTGTATTCCATTTCCCTGAAATCCTTCATATGTTAACAATCAGTGTCTGAGGGACTCAAAGTTGTTGCTAACTTTAATCGGATTTCTGTGCCTTTTTTAACATGACTTGTGTCTTCATATTGGCAGCATGGGGTCCTATATTCCGCACTAATAAAAACAAACACAGTTACTTCTTGTGCTTTATAGTTATTGAGTGGAAATAATATATCCAACTGCAATGCTTTAAGAATATTTGTTTTGAGAATATCTTTCCAAAGGACTGCAGTTGGATAACAAAAGCACATTTACAAAAGTTGACAAATGTTTGTTCTATCTCAAATGAAAGACGACACGAATCCTTCTTGTGGACTCACTTTGCCCTTTGTAATGAGGGAAAAAAAAAAAAAAAAAAAACTTACTTTCCCTTTTTTCTTGTGTTTGGGCACACACAAATGTACCTATGCATTCTTCCTGGATCCTATTTTAAGTCAATGAAAAGCCTGTTACTGAAATGACCCTTTAATTTCACAAACAATGAAAATGGGACACAGTGAGAGAAGATGTGTACTGTTGTTGAACTACACACCTAAAGACACTTACCATGGAGGGAACAAATGGTGCAAGGATCCCTCCAACTCTGCACGACATGGAGCACACGCCCAAACCTGCGTTCCTAAAAGACATGCACAAATATTATTAGAATCCTTCTAGATTTAAGAACATTATCATTTGAAATCAAACAGATTTTCATGCATTGAACAATCACAACAAAAACTTTAAGAACACTCCACATGATGTGCTGTTTGGTCGCTTCACCTGATTACTGTCGGGTAGAGTTCAGAGGTGTAGATGTAGACAATGTTGAAAGCTGCACTGACCATCAGTTTTCCCAACAAAGCCAACGATGACACGCTCACTAATGTCTCTGTAAACACAAATGAAACAGAGTGGATTTAGGATGTTAACTAATCACTTAATCTGCGTTGGGTTGTTGGATTAGGGTTGAGACATTTACACCTTTGACAGCAGTTAACATCTTTTAAAAAGTCTTCGTTCTCCAGTCTGATGCTGCAGGACTTTGAATTCTTGATTTTTGTGCAAATTATTTCTCATAATAAATAAATGAAGTTCAGCAAGTCTGGTGAAACCCTACCTGCAATCATTCCTCAGGATTGCAACACTATCACAACTAAGGTTGCAAAATTCAGGGAATTTTCAAAGTAGGAAACTTTCTATGGGAATTAACGGGAATTTATGAGAATTAACGGGAATAAACCAGCAATTTACAAAAGTGAAGGTTGGCTCTTAACAGGGAACTTAACTATAGTTGGGGAAAATGTAGTTTAGCATCTTGACTAAAACAAACGATATTATGGGGTAATATATTTTAAATATTTGATGCATGGTATTAATACGATTTGGAATATTTCCAAAATTCCCCAGTTTAACTTCTCATGGAAAGTTTCCGGAAATTTTCCACCCCTTTGCAACCCTAATCACAACACAAACACAACTTAAAATCCTGGCTCAAACACTATCAAGTATGTAACCATACTTGTTGGATGTCATAGGCCTACATTGGTATGCCGTCTCATTCTATGTATTCATTCCATGTAGGCCGCCTGTGTCTCTTGATTTGTGGTCTTGCTTTTAGGTTTCTTATGTGCGCCACTAAATGTACAGTATGCAATTGTACACCCGGAACCTGGTTGTCATGACTGATGACCAGCTCACATATAAATCCTAAGAGGCTTTGTTTGCTAACTCAATAACTCAAATCTAAAAGTATCGATGGTCAGAATATCATGACATGTAACGTTCAACAGCTAAAATGGCCTTCGCTTTACTGTGCAGTGACACTTTATCAGAGGCAGAGGCTGACATCACACAGAAGAGAAAGAAGGACTTTAAAAAACGACATTTTGATGCTAATCCCCAATTTCCACTTCCGCTAATCCCCAAATCATGTTGATTTGCCCTGTACAACTTCAGGAAGTTCAGAACATTCCTGTTTCCATGCTAGACTGCTGATATCACCCATTGACTATTTCAACTCTCTACTGGCAGGTTATTATTAATTTATTTCAGGAGGCTTAAAGTGTGATCATTTGTTTAAATCTAAAAGAAACATTCTGAACATTGAAATACAAAATGTCACCCATGTGAACTTATAAATAGAAATAACAAAGTTCTACATGTCTTACATTCACATGAATTCAGCTAGCTCACACTGTAGTTTTGCACTGTGGTACATACAGCCTAACTGAAACTCTAGTGTGTGTGTGTGTGTGTGTGTGTGTGTGTGTGTGTGTGTGTGTGTGTGTGTGTGTTTGAGTGTGTGTGTATGTGAACTTCCCTCTGTTTATTTAGATGTTTTGTCTCTTATGCGCCTGCAACAACGTACAGTAAAATGAAGTCCCACACTGAGACACCAATATTACGCCATTGTTGATGCAATGTATGAATAGAAAAAAAGTCATGACGGCAGGACTTTGCCACGGTAAAGTTGCAAAGGACTAGTGTCTCACCGGTGTTTTCAGGGATGAACATGGTGCAGAGGCAGGCAGAGCCGGCCAGACACAAGAAACTAGCCATGCTTTTCCTCCTGCCAGCCCTGTGAAACAATACACAAAGCAGCTGTATCAATTATTTTTCTTTCAAAGAAGCAAAGTGTATAAGAAATAAGACCAACTTAACTTTTTGTAACAAAAAAGATCTCAAGAATCCTAGCTATATAGGAAAGTTAAAACATAAAACCTGCCCTGGAACAGTCACAATAAAAACAGAATTATTAGGAGCGTTTAATATTTTACATACATCAAGAACTATCTCAGACAGGAAGATGAAACACTGAGGTGAGAGCAGGCAAGATAATACACATAAGATAATACACTAGGGTGATGGGCTCCATGATGTCATCTAAATCTGTCATAAATCACCCACCCATCAATCAGCCAATCACCTGAATTTACATTGTAAACCCACACCCATCATGCAAAACAGGACAGATGAAAGCAGCCAAGAATCTCTTCCTTTTTGGCACAACCCTCTCCAGCTGAAAACAAAGCTCTGTGAAAGTGCAGGTGATGGATAAGAAAACACCTGTAGCACCATCCCTTCCAGCTTCAGCATTTCATTTTGTTCCCCAAACAATTTTTAAAAAATGCAATTGGCTTTACTTCCGACGCTAAAAGATGAGCTGTGTGGCTTCAGGATGCCTGCAGAGAGGATCAAAGTGTTAAACTGTGTGTCCAGGTGTTGTGTCCTGACTGGTTAAGTGTGTGTCTCACCAGTGTTTGTTGATGAAGTATATGCAGAGGGGGTAGGCGGGCAGCTCCACCAGGCCGTACATGGCTACATTCATATACCGACTACCAGACATCTCACTGGCTCCTAGAGTCAGACCATAGTACACCAGACTGCATGCATACCTGTAAAAAACACACACACACACACAGTGATTTTTTGTTTGTGCTGATATCTTCTTAACTGATTAAAACAATCTACCCAGTACTTCCTCACCAACAATTAAGAAAATCTTACTTTTTTCTGAGAATTATCTTTAAGTCTACACTGCAATGGGGGCTCACTGACTACGCTGAGCAAGTAAAGAAGAGTTAGAGAATGTATGTAACGATTTAATAAGTATTAACAGGGGATGTTGCATTTCTTTCTGTGCTGTTAGAAAAGATAGAAAAGACAGAAATAGTCGTATGGTAGACATACTGCAGTGAAAGTAGCAGTAAAAGCTCTTCATTTGAGCCCTGTGCGGCACTTGAACCAGCAACCCTGTGTTCACTGGTCTGTTCCCGCAGAGTTAAAGAGTGAAGCTCCAGCTGCTCTGTGCTGGTGAACTCACCAGACATACATGAGCACCATGGTCCTCTGTCGCAGGACAGGATGGAGCACCAGCTGTAGGACACCTGCTCCCCTGTTGTCATGGTTACCAGCTTTAGCAGTGGTGATTCGCTGCAACACTAGGTTGTTAGCGGCATTGCCGTTTCTTAGCCCTATGTAGCGAAGGACCTAGAAGGACAGGACAAATTCAGAATAGGGTACATCATCTGCAGTTCACTCGTGACACCGGCAGGTTGAAATGTGTTAAAATTTACAGGCCGGAGTTTCTGGTGTTTAATATTCAGGAAGCACGAATGTTCCACTTTGTAACAATTATTCAAAAAGAAGCTCAGTTCAGGAGTTTCAGATAAACACTGCACGGTGATCCACGTGTAAATCCTGTCACATTTTGTTGACACAGTGAATTTACAATGAGTTTAAAAAATATTAAGTGCATGAAAAGTGATCAGTTGTACATTTAGAGGTGGTTTGAAATCGTTTATCTACAATTGACTTCCAGTAGGCTTGTTCTGGCTGCTAAGATCACATTTCACAAAACACAACATCAAATCCATAGTGACTGAAAATCAATGTGGAGCAAAGTAGCTGTCCTGCAACAGCATTCCATGGTGTGATGTATCCTTTCCCTTTTTCTACGATGCCATTGTTTACAGTCTGACGAGAAACCTCAGACGGCAGTCGTGTATTTGTTGATAAGAAACACCATGGAGGAGTTGGAGTTTACACTGGAGTTCAGTTTTAGATACATTTGCAGATATCTGTTTGAAAACAACCACACCAATAGTTAAAGTAAAATCATCTGTAGACGACGGATGACTGGTTTATGGTGATTGGAGATTGCCTTACGTCATATTGCGTTCCACCAATCTACTGACTGTTTTTTTTCTGAATGCATCCAAATCTCGCTCAAACGCTAGTTAACGACCAAAACACTTCCGATACATCCCGTGCCTACAGTCTGAATTTGAATGCAGAATCTCTAAATAAATGTATACAAACAAATCTAATGTGACTACCTACAAATTTAAGTGTCTCCATCCTGCTGCATACGTACCTCTTCAGCTTGCTGAGTTTGACCCTGACAGTACAGCCAACGAGGAGACTCTGGGAGAGTGCTGGAGGAAACAAGACCAGTGGAATGATAACTGTATCATCCTATATGACATTGAGTACAAAAAAATGGGGTTGTACTAAATTCAAGGACAAACGTTTTACATATTCAAATCAGCTGATGTTAGCTTTGAATGCCACTCTAGTTTTTCTCATAGTCATGCAGGGAGCCTTTTATATACTCTTTCACAGAATGTGGCGAATCGTTTGCAGGCTGAATGTGTGCTCAAAAAACATGAACCTGAAATGACATTAAAAAAGCCACCAGTTTCTTTTTCCTTGATCTAGAGTTCAGCAGTATGTCAGCTCTCTGAGGTTTGTACTCACACTGACAGCAGGAAGAACAGGACCCCGGATGAGTTGGCCGCAGCAGCCAGGCTCCTCCAGGGCTGGATGAAGTAGCCCAAAGCTCCAAACAGGGCGATACCAATGGCAAAAGTCATGCTGGTCAAAGTCCCTGAGGAAAAAACAGAAAACTTAATCCAACAGTGAAGGACCAGCAGAGGTTACAGGCATCAATCTGTAAAAAACAAAATAAATAAAAAACTCCATTTTGACTCAAAGTGTTGTAGATTATATTCAAACTGCCACAATCACAGTCCTTATCATATGTTTACAGTACAAACTAAGTAGCAATCTTCATTTAAATGGAAATATCATAGGAATGTTTGGGTGTTTGCGCACCGGTCATGGCCCAGTAGGACTTGCCCACGTACTCCTGAGTTAGAACGAAACACACGAGGCCGATGCCGCCGTTCATCAGCCCCACCAGCAGACGGGACACGGCAAAGACCTCATAGCTGGGAGCGAAGGCGGTCACATAACCAAAGATTACCTCAAAAAACAGACCTGGAAGAAAGACAAGGAGAAGAAGATGGAGAAGGAGCAGAGAATGAGAGATTAAATAATTACTGCTTACTTTAACAGGTTTTGGAGCTGTACACTAATCAGCATGATGGGACATTTATAAAGGAAATCAGCAAGTCCAGGCGCCGGTATAGCTCCATTGGTAGAGCAGGTGCCCATATAGAGAGTCTACAGTCCACATCGTACACTTCTAGTGCTGACGCTATTTGGCGCGTATCATCCCGCACTCTCTCTCTCCCCCCACAGTTCCTATCTCTCGTCAGCTGTCCTGTCAGTCAAAAGGTAATGGTAAAAATGGTAAACAGAGGAAGAAGATCGGCCCGCACACTCGCTCAAATGCCACAAAAAAAGGTTTTAATGATCACAACGTTTCGACCAGAGGTCTTCTTCAGGTGATCATTTTTGAAGTTTTGCTGTTTTTGCACTGCCCTGCACCTGCGTAATGTGCGTATAACTACCTCCTTTTTCAAAAACAGGAACTCAAAACCCAAAAAAATAGAGTGCTTCAGCACGGTACGGGACAGCTGGGCCTAGTGTGAGTGAGCCTGTGACTTGTTGCTGACACATTATCTTTCGATAAGAGAGGCTGTCAGAGTTTTTTAGTCTTCTAGTGTCTAACATGACAACATTCTCGCCATCTCCATCCAAACTCGATCAGCATCACTCTCCACTACATGTTTTTTTCTTCTAAGGTTGATTCTCGACTCTTTATCTCTTTGTTGATCCTGCGTACACGTGTAGTATTCGTGTAGTAAAATATCCACCTGCATCCTTGAATTTGAGGATTCATTAACTTCTAAAAAAGTTGCATTTGAAAATATACACCATGTGCCTTAATTGCTTTGTTGTGATTGGTCCCTGTAAGAGCAGTGACAGGTATTCAGCATAACTTTACAGTACTCAATAGTGAGACTGTTTCAGAAAAAGTTCAAAAGTCATCCTGAATTTGTCTTTTAATTACATGTAGGATAAAAAATCAATTCGCTTGTTTTTTTTATATTCAGGAGATTCCAGTTTTAAACCTCTTGAATTGAAAACGAAATTCTCACTTCTCCAGGCCATCTCTGCGGGCAAATACAACTCAGATTAGGGGAACCTCAAACGTAGAGCCATAAATCAAAATCTTAGAGCTCTTTTTCATTATTACTGGGACACACTCCCAATCCATTTTGTCATTGACTGCTACATGAACAGCTCATTGTCTGTGGGTTTCCTCACCTGTCAAGTAGACAGGTCTCCTCCCAATCCTGTCTGAGAGCGGCCCAAAGACAATGTTTCCGACCAGAAGCCCTGCGAAGAAGAGCGATCCAGCCAGACTGACCTTGTAGGCCTGCTGCTTGATGAGAAACCACTGGGGAACACAGAGAGAGGTGAAAACTACGTAGGCTTTATTTTAGGATCTAAGGATTAAAAACAAGCACACACACCAAATGAGGTGCTTGCTGAAGTGAACATGCATGTGAGTAAACCACAGCTCCCTCACCTCGGTCACTATGGAGTCAATGTCTTCTGTAAAGGTGACACGTTGGATGAGCTCCTGCTGGCTGGATGGGACGACGTCCTGCTGCTCGATCCGATAATGTGGTGTAGATCCGATCAGGACAATCAGCATGGACTGACAGGCCATATACACCTGAAACACACACAATACTACTGCTCAGAGAAAACTCTCCAAGAAGTAAGGCTAATGACATCACCATCTACATTACTGCAAATACACTAAATCTACTGTGCGTGCTCTGTGTCCTTCCTGATAGACTGAGATTTCCAACCCTGAGTTAGAGTAAGGTTCTGTTCCGTTTTCCCTCCTATTTCAATATTTCCGTCAACCATAAAGGCTCAGACTCAGATTTAAGACAGACAGGCCAATTTAAACAGATTAACGGCTGCAAATAACTTCCATTAACTGCCCTTAATCGACAAACAGCAACGAAAATGTGTCTCAAACATGGAAAACGACAGTGAGATTACAAATCAAAGTGATTTTTTACATTTCTGAGGGACGTAATCAATCACGGAAAACATCCCTCATTGTGCATGGACACTGTAAAAAATAAACAATGAACTAACACACTCCTGACGTTAAACAGCCGGTAAACACCTCGGCTCATCTTCATCCTCAAAGTAATCCCACTTTTTAAAACCATTCACAACGACAAGCATATTTTACAGAGGACTTTACACCTACTAGGAGCTAGTTAAGATTATGCCTACATTGGATCTATCTCACCTGTAACACCTAAATGTAGCCTTAGTAGTGCATAAACGCTGTTGTAAATCAGAACTTATGTTCAAACTCAGCTACGTTTGAACGTATGCAAAGCTGCTCTTTGTTCGGTTGACCGACAGATTTAGGCCATGTGTCCACCTCGCGTTTTTATTTTCTCAGCGTCTTTTTTCAGTTGTTTTCAATGGGTGGAGAGTGTTCGCAGCAGAAAGCAGCCGCCCGGACGAAAAGCGCAGCGCACAGCGTCTCTTTTGAAAGTGCTCTGTTCTTTTTGTGCGGCCGCACTGAACGCTCATGTTAAAAAATGTTCAAGTTTTCAGAAAGGCACTGTTGACGTCACAGGCGCTCTATTCAAAATGTATGACATTCCCTGTATTTTCGCCTCCTACGGATCGTATCTTGTACTCACACCCTCTTCGCTCCGTGTCTGCTGGGGGAAAATACAATCTCAAATATAAAATACATACAGTAGAATTTTCAGAGAACAAACACATCATGCAAACACTCCCGAGTGCACAGCCAGCGCTTTTCTGCCCGGGAAAAAAAAACACTAGGTGAACACAGCGCCTTAGACAGCATTTCAAATATGGCTACTGCCATAAGCCCCCACTTTCAGTAAGCTATGGGTGATGTCACTGAGGCTGTGTCCATGTTTATTTACAAGGTTTGTCTATGATTCACACCTCACAGTTCAGGCTTCATAAGTCAGTGACCCAGTTGGCCCATTACAATCCAGAAACTCTCTGTTCTGCCACATCATGTGAATTTATTGTATTGTATTTTGTGAGGTTTATTAGAAAGAAAATGGAATGGTTAGCTTAGCCTCAAAGGGCACGTTGAAAAATGTCAGATTATTTGGTTGTAGGTGACCATAAAGACAAAATAGGACATTGGTTAAATTAGTATGAATGTGTTCACTTAATGTTTACGTTGCACACTTAATGCTGAATGTAACAGTGTTAAAGGAAAGCTAAGGATAAAAAAAAAGTGTTGGATATTGTTTATTTCTGTGGTCTTCTGAGCGTTGAGGTAGTGGCGACAACTTAAATGTTTTAAATGTTTTAAATGTGGCTCCACAGTCAGATTCATAAAAAGGCTCCAGCAGCAGCAGCAGCTGGGAGCCACGTCGCGTTAGCCTCTGTTTCTTTAACAGCGACAGTACAGCAGCGAGGTCAATGCACAGAAACAAAACATATATTTATGCATTATAAACCTGTGTCAGAAGGAGGATAGCCACCGCCCGCTTCTGGTAGGGTCCAAACTCGCCAACTACCTGAAGCGCCTCTTCTAAATCCATCCCAAATGGGGCGGACAGACAGCTCCGGGGTTTAGCATCGCCACCGCAGAGGGACAAGCTACTGTGTGTGATCCGTGCTCTCTTCCGGGTTCGGCTCTGCGTCATGGGCTGCTCACAGGAAATAAGGACGTTTACAAAATAAAATAATAATAAATAAAAAAACAGCCCCACAGTCTTTACCTACATACATTTAGACACTTTCTTTTATCCGCTTTGGATATTGTTGATTGTTTTTTTGTTTTTTTTATGACTGCAAAGTAGTACTGTATCAAATGAAAAGTCAATATGTAAAATGGATGTTTTGATGAATGTAATAACAAATGCTTTGGATGATACACTGCCGTGCAGCTCCGTGTAGCAAACAAACACTATTGGAATAATAACTTAGACAATATTGATGACAATTGATCTGTACTCAATTTGTGGTTATCTGGCCCAGAGCCTTTTTTCATTTATTCTTTAAAGGTGCATTATGTAGATTTGGTAGTGAAATTTTAAAGTTGGAGAGGTGAAACAATTCTTTGCTATATTTTATGAAGTAAACACACAAATTGAAATGAAAAATGGGTCCCTGAAACACTGTTTAGAGCTTAAAAGCTACCAGGAGAGTTACGGTTCCACTGTTACGGGCCCACCATCACAACTTCTCGCGTAGCATTTTATCTTCAGTGTTTCAGGGACCAACTTCTCCTCCGAGGACAGTTTGTGTATAGAGTTATGAACAGATACCATTAGGATCTGTAGACTTCTTGAAAGGTTCACATTTCTCTACCAAAACGTCATAGTGCACCTTTAAATGCATTTGTTAAATTCTTCTGGATTTGACTTCAGCATGTGTTTGATGCTTTATGTAGAGGAAAAAAATCAATATACAGACAAGAAATGGTTGTGATGGGAATAGAATATCTCCTTTTACGTGGCAAGTTTTACATCCCAGCATTGCAAATGGTCTGAACGGAAACCCAATATTCACCAGTTTAATGAAATGCTATTGAAACACTAAAAACTTGGGAATGGGAAAGCAATCAGAACTCTGGTCATTTACAAACCATTGAAAACCTCTTCTTAATTTAAGCTTATTTCCGTGTCTCATTTTATTTTTTGTTCCTTATTGTATTTCATTCCCTATGTTTGTCTTTGTATCATTCAGCCATGATTATTAAGCTTACAGGAAGAGGGAGGGGAAAAAAAGTCCACAGTCTGAGCAGCAGTTAATCCAATGTATTTCAGAAGGCACATAGTATAAAAACACACATTGGCAAATCAGAAATACAATAAATTAAACATTTTCACATTAATTGGGTTGTAGAAGAAGCAAATTGACAAAATGGAGATGAATGTAACATAAAAATTAGTTAAAGCTTAAATACAGCACAGAATATCAACAAAGAAAGTGAGGACAGAGTCAGTGAAATTACTTGTTTCTTGTATTGTTCATTCTTTACATAGATTATCCCAAAAGCTTTGACAGTTTGAAACTGGTTTTAAACAGGCGATTGAAATCATATTGAAATTATTTTCTCTTTCTCATGTCTGCTTCAATGTCAGCTTGTATATTATTCTGTCTGTTTGTTCAATACATCAACGACCAGCAGAGACAAACACTTGAATAACATAACAAATAACTTGAATACACATGTTAAGAGCTGGTCAGGTATTTTTATTTATATATATATATATTTTATATATATATAATTTGACCCAACTGGATTGTTGATAAAGTAAGTCTGAAAATAACTGCTTTGACTGAACCAGGCAGCCCTGCCTGCTGTTAGTTGTGTTTACAAGACATGCATCCTTCCATTTATACCTCATATTTCTGTTTGAGTCCATATCAGTCAGCCCTTAACATTCAGTTCATACAAAAAAAATTAACGCGATTTACAATCTTAAACTGCAATAGTAACAGTCAAGGTGCACACAGCTGAAAGCTAAACCAGTCTTTTTTTTCTCTCAACATGTGTTGTTCTTAAAAACAGTCTGGGGAGAATACTGCAGAGTGCAGATCTGATTCTGTTTCCATGAGATAAGACCTTCACATGTTCAGGCATTTGATGGTGGGTCTTTATTCACTAGTTCGGTCGCGGGTTGTGAAGCTGCACCACTTGATGCTGCTTTGTTTGCATTGTCATGATCAGTTGTCTTGTTTTACGGGGATCCACTTTCTGAACTTCTCCCTGTTCTTCCAACACAGCAGGCCTAAACACACAGCAACTATAACGATAAGAAGGGTAAGAATAACCACAACCACAACCCTCTCGATATCAACCTCAGGGTCATGTTTAGGTTCAACATAGAACGGGTTGTTTATGGGATCACTTTTCTTCTCGCTGACTGGGTTCTTCATCATACAGGAGACTGTTTCAAAAAAGAATGAGTCAATCTTGATGATTGTAATGTCGCTCCCCTGCTCCTGCCACTCACCGTCTCCCTCCTTCCAGCTGTAGGTGACAGGACCGGCCTCTTTTGTGTCTCCGTAACAACTCAGCCCACACTCATCCAAATGAGACTCACATGCCAATGGCTTCGTATTTACAATGGGTTTGGGCACTTCTTTGATTGCCTTGCCAGTGTAGCGCACGGCCTGGATCTTGTCGTTGAATTCGTATGAAAACTCCCCCTCGTCCTTTTGGCTCATGTTTTTCATGGTCAGATGTCCAGTGGATAAATCCAGAGTTGTGCGGTTCTTAAATCTATCGTAGACGACCAATGGCACTGCGTCCTTCACCCATTCAGCGACGAGATCACCGTTCAGTTTCCACAAAATGTTTTTGATAGCATCCGGGAAGACAGGCTTCAACGTCAGCTCGCCGCCGATCTTGAAGTAAGCCATTTTATTTTGAGCTGAAGAGACGTCATACAGCAGCGCTGTCAGGAGAACCAAGACGACGAGTTTCTCCATGGTATCAAATCAACCCAGGACTGACAGGAAAAAATTAAAACATCGACCTTTTGAACAGCAAAAGGAACGACTTAGCTGTCCCGACGTCTTACATGCGTCTTCAAAGTACACACCCTTCCTTCCGCGCTGAGGCTCTTTCTGGTGTTCCTGCGTAGTTAAGGTCACTGTCTCATATACAATTCTACATCATTAAATGACCTTACATCGGCACGTTTAAGTTAAGAAATATTTAACCACGAATAAATAAATAGTTGAAACAAACCATAAGACATTTAGAGGTTAGAATAATATAAAAATGCATGATTCAAGATCAAAGATGAATCAAAAAGGGTTCTCAGTGGTGGAAAGTTAAGTCTTTATTGACAACTTTGAGGTTGTCCTACTTAACTTGAGTGTTTTCTTCTCCTACCATTTCATTTTTCAACTGCTCTATACTGTAGCTCTCTTTACCGCTACATTTATATCATAGCGGAAACTTGATAAATTCTCTTGAAATATTTGAGTTGATATATAATTTAATTCATCGTGACCACTTCATCAAAGAATCATTCAATTTATCACTGGGAACATTAATATTTTAATCAATAACCTCCAAAAGTGGAGTTAATTTCACTATAATTTAAATCTTAATCTCTATTTGGGAATGCAACAATTAATATCGTGACATTGTAGGTACAAAACTGTAAAAAAGCCATCAGGCTTTTCAAAAAAATAGTTCGGCTGAGTATTTAATCCAAGACTTCTAAATGAGAAATTGATAAGAGAAAACCTTTTTTTCATTATGCACTTGGTGACATGTCAGTGAAAAAGTCAAAATGTTGAGAATAATGTTGAAATACAACTTTGAGAATAAAGTTGAAATTTCAAAAATAAAGTCAACTCTTCTGGTGAGCGGCTGACAGCTATTCAAGCAGCCAGAGTGTCATATAACAGAGGAGTTTCTGATGTTATGAAACTGCAAACTTTCATTGACTTGTATCATATCAATGTCTTATTGTCAATTCCTCTATTCTTAAACATGTACACGATAAATATAAGTGCATAACTGCTGTTAAAATTCCACAAATTGTGCTCTTAGCTGAAGAGGCCATAACACTGGAACTGTTCTTGGCTGAAATAAAAAATGATGTATCTGATACAAACAACATTTTTAAAAAGCATGAAACACTGAACTGCAACCTTCTCCCTAACAGTTTGAGGATCATGGAAAACACCTCAGACTTTTTTTGAAAGCAACATCTTTGAAAACATTTCATTTTAAACATCATTTAATACACTTTTAAACGAAACAGGAACCTTTAAACTCCACTGATTTTGTCCAGTAAATTGTGTAAATAGTGTTTTCCTTTGAGACATTCTCATGCTGCTCCTTTTAACTCATAGATTACTTATCAAGAATCTTTACCCTGGAAAATGTATTCGACATAAAAGAGGCTCATCTTGCACCATCCCTGTGGCAGCAGTCTCAGGTATTAATAACTTTAGAGGAAGTCAGTCCTGTCGCTGATACTCACATGTGCCTCAGTAAGTCATATTAGAGTGGTTGATATTCATTTCAGTTTGTTTTAGCATTCTAAATATTTATGTCACTTTGCCAGCTGTAAATACTGCTTATGTGGGTACTGTGCTGCTTTTGTTCAGAGGTTTCAGGAACTCCTCATTTTGGATGCACACGATAAACTTGTATCTTCTGGGATCAATAATTGATTTGAAGTATAAAACAAGTATAAATCTCTTTAATTTTACAAGCAACTTGAAAATGTCGAGACAGTTATGGTACTAAGACAAGTGACAGTTCATTAGACAACATTCAAACACATAGAAGATAATAACAATAATAACAGTTGAAACGAAGAAAAAAAATATTAAAACTGCTCTAGTTCTGACAGCGGAGGGGCAGTCTGGATTTCTGAGGCGTTGATGGGGCTTCGTTTTCAGATGCTTTTTGCCTGTTGTGGCTCTTCGATTCCTTCTTACCGCCCTTCTTCTGCTGGAATAGGGACAACACAAGAAGAATGCAACCATATTTATCAGAACACAGTAAAATGTGAAAGTCAACAATAATGTCAAATAATGTTCTTCAGAGATGATAAAAAAGAATCACTCTCAGCTACTTCACGTATTGCTAGAAACAGCATTTACCCATCTACCATGTCACAATCGGTGTAACTAGCATGCTAACAATAGGTTTGGCTAACTAGCTTGTCCATTTAGCCAGAACAAATTAAACATGTTAAACTAAAACATCCCTGTAACTTAAATGTGTAAAAAACATATCGTAAACTCTACTGCTAAGCTCTAAATTCCTGAGACACAAAACTTATGTGTAACCACAGTATTCACTTCAAACTTAATGTAGTGTTGAATTTATTTCAGGAGGCTTAAAGTGTGATCATTTGTTTATATCTAAAAGAAACATTCTGAACATTGAAATACAAAATGTCACCCGTGTGAACTTATAAATAGAAATAACAAAGTTCTACATGTCTTACATTCACATGAATTCAGCTAGCTCACACTGTAGTTTTGCACTGTGGTACATACAGCCTAACTGAAACTCTAGTTTATATCCTCTCCCATACACAATGAAGCACACTAGACTTGTAGTGTATATTCAATATTTCCAGTTCAAGGTATATTTATGCCCGTGTTACACCTCGACTGCAATGTGTAACATACAGAGGGGTAGTACAAAGTCGATCTGCCCTGGTCTGCAATTGGAGCTAGTAACAGAGGTGTTATGGGAGGAAGATGGTGGCAATGTGTGAGGTCAGCACTGTGTGTGTGTGTGTGTGTGTGTGTGTGTGTGTGTGTGTGTGTGTGTGTGTGTGTGTGTGTGTGTGTGTGTGTGTGTGTGTGTGTGTGTGTTTGAGTATGTGTGTATGTGAACTTCCCTCTGTTTATTTAGATGTTTTGTCTCTTATGCGCCTGCAACAACGTACAGTAAAATGAAGTCCCACACTGAGACACCAATATTACGCCATTGTTGATGCAATGTATGAATAGAAAAAAAGTCATGACGGCAGGACTTTGCCACGGTGATGTTGCAAAGGACTAGTGTCTCACCGGTGTTTTCAGGGATGAACATGGTGCAGAGGCAGGCAGAGCCGGCCAGACACAAGAAACTAGCCATGCTTTTCCTCCTGCCAGCCCTGTGAAACAATACACAAAGCAGCTGTATCAATTAGTTTTCTCTCAAAGAAGCAAAGTGTATAAGAAATAAGACCAACTTAACTTTTTGTAACAAAAAAGATCTCAAGAATCCTAGCTATATAGGAAAGTTAAAACATAAAACTTGCCCTGGAACAGTCACAAGAAAAAGAGAATTATTAGGAGCGTTTAATATTTTACATACATCAAGAACTATCTCAGACAGGAAGATGAAACACTGAGGTGAGAGCAGGTAAGATAATACACATATAAGATAATACACTAGGGTGATGGGCTCCATGATGTCATCTAAATCTGTCATAAATCACCCACCCATCAATCAGCCAATCACCTGAATTTACATTGTAAACCCACACCCATCATGCAAAACAGGACAGATGAAAGCAGCCAAGAATCTCTTCCTTGTTGGCACAACACTCTCCAGCTGAAAACAAAGCTCTGTGAAAGTGCAGGTGATGGATAAGAAAACACCTGTAGCACCATCCCTTCCAGCTTCAGCATTTCATTTTGTTCCCCAAACAATTTTTAAAAAATGCAATTGGCTTTACTTCCGACGCTAAAAGATGAGCTGTGTGGCTTCAGGATGCCTGCAGAGAGGATCAAAGTGTTAAACTGTGTGTCCAGGTGTTGTGTCCTGACTGGTTAAGTGTGTGTCTCACCAGTGTTTGTTGATGAAGTATATGCAGAGGGGGTAGGCGGGCAGCTCCACCAGGCCGTACATGGCTACATTCATATACCGACTACCAGACATCTCACTGGCTCCGAGAGTCAGACCATAGTACACCAGACTGCATGCATACCTGTAAAAAACACACACACTACTTTTTTGTTTGTGCTGATATCTTCTTAACTGATTAAAACAATCTACCCAGTACTTCCTCACCAACAATTAAGAAAATCTTACTTTTTTCTGAGAATTATCTTTAAGTCTACACTGCAATGGGGGCTCACTGACTACGCTGAGCAAGTAAAGAAGAGTTAGAGAATGTATGTAATGATTTAATAAGTATTAACAGGGGATGTTGCATTTCTTTCTGTGCTGTTAGAAAATATAGAAAATACAGAAATAGTCGTATGGTAGACATACTGCAGTGAAAGTAGCAGTAAAAGCTCTTCATTTGAGCCCTGTGCGGCACTTGAACCAGCAACCCTGTGTTCACTGGTCTGTTCCCGCAGAGTTAAAGAGTGAAGCTCCAGCTGCTCTGTGCTGGTGAACTCACCAGACATACATGAGCACCATGGTCCTCTGTCGCAGGACAGGATGGAGCACCAGCTGTAGGACACCTGCTCCCCTGTTGTCATGGTTACCAGCTTTAGCAGTGGTGATTCGCTGCAACACTAGGTTGTTAGCGGCATTGCCGTTTCTTAGCCCTATGTAGCGAAGGACCTAGAAGGACAGGACAAATTCAGAATAGGGTACATCATCTGCAGTTCACTCGTGACACCGGCAGGTTGAAATGTGTTAAAATTTACAGGCCGGAGTTTCTGGTGTTTAATATTCAGGAAGCACGAATGTTCCACTTTGTAACAATTATTCAAAAAGCAGCTCAGTTCAGGAGTTTCAGATAAACACTGCACGGTGATCCACGTGTAAATCCTGTCACATTTTGTTGACACAGTGAATTTACAATGAGTTTAAAAAATATTAAGTGCATGAAAAGTGATCAGTTTATCTACAATTGACTTCCAGTAGGCTTGTTCTGGCTGCTAAGATCACATTTCACAAAACACAACATCAAATCCATAGTGACTGAAAATCAATGTGGAGCAAAGTAGCTGTCCTGCAACAGCATTCCATGGTGTGATGTATCCTTTCCCTTTTTCTACGATGCCATTGTTTACAGTCTGACGAGAAACCTCAGACGGCAGTCGTGTATTTGTTGATAAGAAACACCATGGAGGAGTTGGAGTTTACACTGGAGTTCAGTTTTAGATACATTTGCAGATATCCGTTTGAAAACAACCACACCAATAGTTAAAGTAAAATCATCTGTAGACGACGGATGACTGGTTTATGGTGATTGGAGATTGCCTTACGTCATATTGCGTTCCACCAATCTACTGACTGTTTTTTTTCTGTATGCATCCAAATCTCGCTCAAACGCTAGTTAACGATTCTACTCATACAACAAAAGAAAAACCAGAACACTTCCGATACATCCCGTGCCTACAGTCTGAATTTGAATGCAGAATCTCTAAATAAATGTATACAAACAAATCTAATGTGACTACCTACAAATCTAAGTGTCTCCATCCTGCTGCATACGTACCTCTTCAGCTTGCTGAGTTTGACCCTGACAGTACAGCCAACGAGGAGACTCTGGGAGAGTGCTGGAGGAAACAAGACCAGTGGAACGATAACTGTATCATCCTATATGACATTGAGTACAAAAAAATGGGGTTGTACTAAATTCAAGGACAAACATTTTACATATTCAAATCAGCTGATGTTAGCTTTGAATGCCACTCTAGTTTTTCTCATAGTCATGCAGGGAGCCTTTTATACACTCTTTCACAGAATGTGGCGAATCGTTTGCAGGCTGAATGTGTGCTCAAAAAACATGAACCTGAAATGACATTAAAAAAGCCACCAGTTTCTTTTTCCTTGATCTAGAGTTCAGCAGTATGTCAGCTCTCTGAGGTTTGTACTCACACTGACAGCAGGAAGAACAGGACCCCGGATGAGTTGGCCGCAGCAGCCAGGCTCCTCCAGGGCTGGATGAAGTAGCCCAAAGCTCCAAACAGGGCGATACCAATGGCAAAAGTCATGCTGGTCAAAGTCCCTGAGGAAAAAACAGAAAACTTAATCCAACAGTGAAGGACCAGCAGAGGTTACAGGCATCAATCTGTAAAAAATAAAATAAATAAAAAACTCCATTTTGACTCAAAGTGTTGTAGATTATATTCAAACTGCCACAATCACAGTCCTTATCATATGTTTACAGGACAAACTAAGTAGCAATCTTCATTTAAATGGAAATATCATAGGAATGTTTGGGTGTTTGCGCACCGGTCATGGCCCAGTAGGACTTGCCCACGTACTCCTGAGTTAGAACGAAACACACGAGGCCGATGCCGCCGTTCATCAGCCCCACCAGCAGACGGGACACGGCAAAGACCTCATAGCTGGGAGCGAAGGCGGTCACATAACCAAAGATTACCTCAAAAAACAGACCTGGAAGAAAGACAAGGAGAAGAAGATGGAGAAGGAGCAGAGAATGAGAGATTAAATAATTACTGCTTACTTTAACAGGTTTTGGAGCTGTACACTAATCAGCATGATGGGACATTTATAAAGGAAATCAGCAAGTCCAGGCGCCGGTATAGCTCCATTGGTAGAGCAGGTGCCCATATACAGAGTCTACAGTCCACATCGTACACTTCTAGTGCTGACGCTATTTGGCGCATATCATCCCGCACTCTCTCTCTCCCCCCACAGTTCCTATCTCTCGTCAGCTGTCCTGTCAATCAAAAGGTAATGGTAAAAATGGTAAATAGAGGAAGAAGATCGGCCCGCACACTCGCTCAAATGCCACAAAAAAAGGTTTTAATGATCACAACGTTTCGACCAGAGGTCTTCTTCAGGTGATCATTTTTGAAGTTTTGCTGTTTTTGCACTGCCCTGCACCTGCGTAATGTGCGTATAACTACCTCCTTTTTCAAAAACGGTAAATTGCCCCAAAAAAATAGAGTGCTTCAGCACGGTACGGGACAGCTGGGCCTAGTGTGAGTGAGCCTGTGACTTGTTGCTGACACATTATCTTTCGATAAGAGAGGCTGTCAGAGTTTTTTAGTCTTCTAGTGTCTAACATGACAACATTCTCGCCATCTCCATCCAAACTCGATCAGCATCACTCTCCATTACATGTTTTTTTCTTCTAAGGTTGATTTTCGACTCTTTATCTCTTTGTTGATCCTGCGTACACGTGTAGTATTCGTGTAGTAAAATATCCACCTGCATCCTTGAATTTGAGGATTCATTAACTTCTAAAAAAGTTGCATTTGAAAATATACACCATGTGCCTTAATTGCTTTGTTGTGATTGGTCCCTGTAAGAGCAGTGACAGGTATTCAGCATAACTTTACAGTACTCAATAGTGAGACTGTTTCAGAAAAAGTTCAAAAGTCATCCTGAATTTGTCTTTTAATTACATGTAGGATAAAAAATCAATTCGCTTGTTTTTTTTATATTCAGGAGATTCCAGTTTTAAACCTCTTGAATTGATAAAAAATTCTCACTTACTCCAGGCCATCTCTGCGGGCAAATACAACTCAGATTAGGGGAACCTCAAACGTAGAGCCATAAATCAAAATCTTAGAGCTCTTTTTCATTATTACTGGGACACACTCCCAATCCATTTTGTCATTGACTGCTACATGAACAGCTCATTGTCTGTGGGTTTCCTCAACTGTCAAGTAGACAGGTCTCCTCCCAATCCTGTCTGAGAGCGGCCCAAAGACAATGTTTCCGACCAGAAGCCCTGCGAAGAAGAGCGATCCAGCCAGACTGACCTTGTAGGCCTGCTGCTTGATGAGAAACCACTGGGGAACACAGAGAGAGGCGAAAACCACGTAGGCTTTATTTTAGGATCTAAGGATTAAAAACAAGCACACACACCAAATGAGGTGCTAGCTGAAGTGAACATGCATGTGAGTAAACCACAGCTCCCTCACCTCGGTCACTATGGAGTCAATGTCTTCTGTAAAGGTGACACGTTGGATGAGCTCCTGCTGGCTGGATGGGACGACGTCCTGCTGCTCGATCCGATAATGTGGTGTAGATCCGATCAGGACAATCAGCATGGACTGACAGGCCATATACACCTGAAACACACACAATACTACTGCTCAGAGAAAACTCTCCAAGAAGTAAGGCTAATGACATCACCATCTACATTACTGCAAATACACTAAATCTACTGTGCGTGCTCTGTGTCCTTCCTGATAGACTGAGATTTCCAACCCTGAGTTAGAGTAAGGTTCCGTTCCGTTTTCCCTCCTATTTCAATATTTCCGTCAAACATAAAGGCTCAGACTCAGATTTAAGACAGACAGGCCAATTTAAACAGATTAACGGCTGCAAATAACTTCCATTAACTGCCCTTAATCGACAAACAGCAACGAAAATGTGTCTCAAACATGGAAAACGACAGTGAGATTACAAATCAAAGTGATTTTTTACATTTCTGAGGGACGTAATCAATCACGGAAAACATCCCTCATTATGCATGGACACTGTAAAAAATAAACAATGAACTAACACACTCCTGACGTTAAACAGCCGGTAAACACCTCGGCTCATCTTCATCCTCAAAGTAATCCCACTTTTTAAAACCATTCACAACGACAAGCATATTTTACAGAGGACTTTACACCTACTAGGAGCTAGTTAAGATTATGCCTACATTGGATCTATCTCACCTGTAACACCTAAATGTAGCCTTAGCAGTGCATAAACGCTGTTGTAAATCAGAACTTATGTTCAAACTCAGCTACGTTTGAACGTATGCAAAGCTGCTCTTTGCTTGTTGTTCGGCTGACCGACAGATTTAGGCCATGTGTCCACCTCGCGTTTTTATTTTCTCAGCGTCTTTTTTCAGTTGTTTTCAATGGGTGGAGAGTGTTCGCAGCAGAAAGCAGCCGCCCGGACGAAAAGCGCAGCGCCCAGCGTCTCTTTTGAAAGTGCTCTGTTCTTTTTGTGCGGCCGCACTGAGCGCTCATGTTAAAAAATGTTCAAGTTTTCAGAAAGGCACTGTTGACGTCACAGGCGCTCTATTCAAAATGTATGACATTCCCTGTATTTTCGCCTCCTACGGATCGTATCTTGTACTCACATCCTCTTCGCTCCGTGTCTGCTGGGGGAAAATACAATCTCAAATATAAAATACATACAGTAGAATTTTCAGAGAACAAACACATCATGCAAACACTCCCGAGTGCACAGCCAGCGCTTTTCTGCCCGGAAAAAAAAAACACTAGGTGAACACAGCGCCTTAGACAGCATTTCAAATATGGCTACTGCCATAAGCCCCCACTTTCAGTAAGCTATGGGTGATGTCACTGAGGCTGTGTCCATGTTTATTTACAAGGTTTGTCTATGATTCACACCTCACAGTTCAGGCTTCATAAGTCAGTGACCCAGTTGGCCCATTACAATCCAGAAACTCTCTGTTCTGCCACATCATGTGAATTTATTGTATTGTATTTTGTGAGGTTTATTAGAAAGAAAATGGAATGGTTAGCTTAGCCTCAAAGGGCACGTTGAAAAATGTCAGATTATTTGGTTGTAGGTGACCATAAAGACAAAATAGGACATTGGTTAAATTAGTATGAATGTGTTCACTTAATGTTTACGTTGCACACTTAATGCTGAATGTAACAGTGTTAAAGGAAAGCTAAGGATTAAAAAAAAGTGTTGGATATTGTTTATTTCTGTGGTCTTCTGAGCGTTGAGGTAGTGGCGACAACTTAAATGTTTTAAATGTTTTAAATGTGGCTCCACAGTCAGATTCATAAAAAGGCTCCAGCAGCAGCAGCAGCTGGGAGCCACGTCGCGTTAGCCTCTGTTTCTTTAACAGCGACAGTACAGCAGCGAGGTCAATGCACAGAAACAAAACATATATTTATGCATTATAAACCTGTGTCAGAAGGAGGATAGCCACCGCCCGCTTCTGGTAGGGTCCAAACTCGCCAACTACCTGAAGCGCCTCTTCTAAATCCATCCCAAATGGGGCGGACAGACAGCTCCGGGGTTTAGCATCGCCACCGCAGAGGGACAAGCTGCTGTGTGTGATCCGTGCTCTCTTCCGGGTTCGGCTCTGCGTCATGGGCTGCTCACAGGAAATAAGGACGTTTACAAAATAAAATAATAATAAATAAAAAAACAGCCCCACAGTCTTTACCTACATACATTTAGACACTTTCTTTTATCCGCTTTGGATATTGTTGATTGTTTTTTTGTTTTTTTTATGACTGCAAAGTAGTAATGTATCAAATGAAAAGTCAATATGTAAAATGGATGTTTTGATGAATGTAATAACAAATGCTTTGGATGATACACTGCCGTGCAGCTCCGTGTAGCAAACAAACACTATTGGAATAATAACTTAGACAATATTGATGACAATTGATCTGTACTCAATTTGTGGTTATCTGGCCCAGAGCCTTTTTTCATTTATTCTTTAAAGGTGCATTATGTAGATTTGGTAGTGAAATTTTAAAGTTGGAGAGGTGAAACAATTCTTTGCTATATTTTATGAAGTAAACACACAAATTGAAATGAAAAATGGGTCCCTGGAACACTGTTTAGAGCTTAAAAGCTACCAGGAGAGTTACGGTTCCACTGTTACGGGCCCACCATCACATCGCGTAGCATTTTATCTTCAGTGTTTCAGGGACCAACTTTTCCTCCGAGGACAGTTTGTGTATAGAGTTATGAACAGATACCATTAGGATCTGTAGACTTCTTGAAAGGTTCACATTTCTCTACCAAAACGTCATAGTGCACCTTTAAATGCATTTGTTAAATTCTTCTGGATTTGACTTCAGCATGTGTTTGATGCTTTATGTAGAGGAAAAAAATCAATATACAGACAAGAAATGCTTGTGATGGGAATAGAATATCTGCTTTTACGTGGCAAGTTTTACATCCCAGCATTGCAAATGGTCTGAACGGAAACCCAATATTCACCAGTTTAATGAAATGCTATTGAAACACCAAAAACTTGGGAATGGGAAAGCAATCAGAACTCTGGTCATTTACAAACCATTGAAAACCTCTTCTTAATTTAAGCTTATTTCCGTGTCTCATTTTATTTTTTGTTCCTTATTGTATTTCATTCCGTATGTTTGTCTTTGTATCATTCAGCCATGATTATTAAGCTTACAGGAAGAGGGAGGGGAACAAAAGTCCACAGTCTGAGCAGCAGTTAATCCAATGTATTTCAGAAGGCACATAGTATAAAAACACACATTGGCAAATCAGAAATACAATAAATTAAACATTGTTGCATTAATTGGGTTGTTTAAATACAGCACAGAATATCAACAAAGGAAATGAGGACAGAGTCAGTGAAATTACTTGTTTCTTGTATTGTTCATTCTTTACATAGATTATCCCAAAAGCTTTGACAGTTTGAAACTGGTTTTAAACAGGCGATTGAAATCATATTGAAATTATTTTCTCTTTCTCATGTCTGCTTCAATGTCAGCTTGTATATTATTCTGTCTCTTTGTTCAATACATCAACGACCAGCAGAGACAAACACTTGAATAACATAACAAATAACTTGAATACACATGTTAAGAGCTGGTCAGGTATAATATATATATATATATATATATATATATATAAATAAAAAATCATTTGACCCAACTGGATTGTTGATAATGTAAGTCTGAAAATAACTGCTTTGACTGAACCAGGCAGCCCTGCCTGCTGTTAGTTGTGTTTACAAGACATGCATCCTTCCATTTATACCTCATATTTCTGTTTGAGTCCATATCAGTCAGCCCTTAACATTCAGTTCATACAAAAAAAATTAACGCGATTTACAATCTTAAACTGCAATAGTAACAGTCAAGGTGCACACAGCTGAAAGCTAAACCAGTCTTTTTTTCTCTCAACATGTGTTGTTCTTAAAAACAGTCTGGGGAGAATACTGCAGAGTGCAGATCTGATTCTGTTTCCATGAGATAAGACCTTCACATGTTCAGGCATTTGATGGTGGGTCTTTATTCTCTAGTTCGGTCGCGGGTTGTGAAGCTGCACCACTTGATGCTGCTTTGTTTGCAGTGTCATGATCAGAGTCATTGTCTTGTTTTACGGGGATCCACTTTCTGAACTTCTCCCTGTTCTTCCAACCCAGCAGGCCTAAACACACAGCAACTATAACGACAAGGATAGGAGCCACAACCGACCAGATATTAAAAGGTATAGGTTCAACATAGAACGGGTTGTTTATGGGATCACTTTTCTTCTCGCTGACTGGGTTCTTCATCATACAGGAGAAGGTTTCAAAATTTGAGTCAATCTTGGTGATTGTAATGTTGCTCTCCTCCTCCTCCTGCCACTCACCGTCTCCCTCTTCCAGCTGTAGGTGACAGGACCGGCCTCTCTTGTGTCTCCGTAACAACTCAGCCCACACTCATCCAAATGAGACTCACATGCCAATGGCTTCGTATTTACAATGGGTTTGGGCACTTCTTCGATTGCCTTGCCAGTGTAGCGCACGGCCTGGATCTTGTCGTTGAATTCGTATGAAAACTCCCCCTCGTCCTTTTGGCTCATGTCATTCATGGTCAGATGTCCAGTGGATAAATCCAGAGTTGTGCGGTCCTTAAATCTATCGTAGACGACCAATGGCACTGCGTCCTTCACCCATTCAGCGACGAGATCACCGTTCAGTTTCCACAAAATGTTTTTGATAGCATCCGGGAAGACAGGCTTCAACGTCAGCTCGCCGCCGATCTTGAAGTAAGCCATTTTATTTTGAGCTGAAGAGACGTCATACAGCAGCGCTGTCAGGAGAACCAAGACGACGAGTTTCTCCATGGTATCAAATCAACCCAGGACTGACAGGAAAAAATAAAAAAATCGACCTTTTTAACAGCAAAAGGAACGACTTTGCTGTCCCGACGTCTTACATGTGTCTTCAAAGTACACACCCTTCCTTCCGCGCTGAGGCAGCTGCTTCGCCCTGGTAAAGTGTCACAAGCGGAAGGCGAGGACCCGGATGCATTAGTTGTCTCAGCCAGTGCCCAATTTTAATTCGATCAATTGCAATATATACCTCCGAATATCATAACAATGTCAAACTTCTACAGACTCCCGTTAAAGGGTTACCACTCATTCCGCGTTTCTGTTGTATAAATTGTATTTTTAAGACGAAGTAAATGCACCTATCGGTCGATGCGTTACGGCATTATGTTAACCATGTGCTAGATCAGCGTTTGGTGGCTATCGGGAGTTACCCTCCTTAGATGACTTAATAAAACGAGTAAGAAAAGTAGAAACAACATTGTCACAAAATGTAACTAATAATAAACAAAGCTTAATTCTCGTGTCGAGTTTTTCGCGATATAGTTATGGTAAGTGGCGCTTGGCTTTAGGCGGGCATTTTCTGGTTAGCAAATGAAGTCACTAGTGGCACCAATTTAATAGGGTAGACAAAATTGACCAATACACCAGGAGAAACCGAAAGTAAAATGTAAAACTCTTTCTGGTGTTCCTGCGAGTTAAGGTCACTGTCTCATATACAATTCTACATCATTAAATGACCTTACATCGGCACGTTTAAGTTAAGAAATATTAAACCACGAATAAATAAATAGTTGAAACAAACCATAAGACATTTAGAGGTTAGAATAATATAAAAATGCATGATTCAAGATCAAAGATGAATCAAAAAGGGTTCTCAGTGGTGGAAAGTTAAGTCTTTATTGACAACTTTGAGGTTGTCCTACTTAACTTGAGTGTTTTCTTCTCCTACCATTTCATTTTTCAACTGCTCTATACTGTAGCTCTCTTTACCGCTACATTTATATCATAGCGGAAACTTGATAAATTCTCTTGAAATATTTGAGTTGATATATAATTTAATTCATCGTGACCACTTCATCAAAGAATCATTCAATTTATCACTGGGAACATTAATATTTTAATCAATAACCTCCAAAAGTGGAGTTAATTTCACTATAATTTAAATCTTAATCTCTATTTGGGAATGCAACAATTAATATCGTGACATTGTAGGTACAAAACTGTAAAAAAGCCATCAGGCTTTTCAAAAAAATAGTTTGGCTGAGTATTTAATCCAAGACTTCTAAATGAGAAATTGAGAAAAAGAGAAAACCTTTTTTTCATTATGCACTTGGTGACATGTCAGTGAAAAAGTCAAAATGTTGAGAATAATGTTGAAATACAACTTTGAGAATAAAGTTGAAATTTCAAAAATAAAGTCACTCTTCTGGTGAGCGGCTGACAGCTATTCAAGCAGCCAGAGTGTCATATAACAGATGAGTTTCTGATGTTATGAAACTGCAAACTTTCATTGACTTGTATCATATCAATGTCTTATTGTCAATTCCTCTATTCTTAAACATGTACATGATAAATATAAGTGCATAACTGCTGTTAAAATTCCACAAATTGTGCTCTTAGCTGAAGAGGCCATAACACTGGAACTGTTCTTGGCTGAAATAAAAAATGATGTGTCTGATACAAACAACATTTTTGAAAAGCATGAAACACTGAACTGCAACCTTCTCCCTAACAGTTTGAGGATCATGGAAAACACCTCAGACTTTTTTTGAAAGCAACATCTTTGAAAACATTTCATTTTAAACATCATTTAATACACTTTTAAACGAAACAGGAACCTTTAAACTCCACTGATTTTGTCCAGTAAATTGTGTAAATAGTGTTTTCCTTTGAGACATTCTCATGCTGCTCCTTTTAACTCATAGATTACTTATCAAGAATCTTTACCCTGGAAAATGTATTCGACATAAAAGAGGCTCATCTTACACCATCCCTGTGGCAGCAGTCTCAGGTATTAATAACTTTAGAGGAAGTCAGTCCTGTCCTGATACTCACATGTGCCTCAGTAAGTCATATTAGAGTGGTTGATATTCATTTCAGTTTGTTTTAGCATTCTAAATATTTATGTCACTTTGCCAGCTGTAAATACTGCTTATGTGGGTACTGTGCTGCTTTTGTTCAGAGGTTTCAGGAACTCCTCATTTTGGATGCACATGATAAACTTGTATCTTCTGGGATCAATAATTGATTTGAAGTATAAAACAAGTATAAATCTCTTTAATTTTACAAGCAACTTGAAAATGTCGAGACAGTTATGGTACTAAGACAAGTGACAGTTCATTAGACAACATTCAAACACATAGAAGATAAAGATATTTAAAAGATGAGAAAGACATGG